AGTGAAGACCGGCTAAGCCACAAAGCGGAGGGGTACCTGGGTGGGGCCGTTTGTGGTACCAATCAGAGCTTGGGGTCTTGAGACTGGGGGATGGGGGTGGGGAGGTGGGAGTTGGACAATTTAAATTTGAAGGTTTTCATTGTGCAGTTGTGTAGGCGATGGGGGGGGGGGGGAGACGTGTCTAGGTGAGCTGGTCAAGAGGGGATAGATCAGTTGATGGGTTACCGCTACCCCATCCACACACACACCCCTGCTACCACACAATCACACAGCCTCTACCCCCACACACTACACCGTCTCCACAACACAATCACAGCTAACATAAAAAAAAGCCAAATAACAGCAAACAAATGTACCAGCTACACTCTACTGCCCCTACTGTTTGTGACATCACGGTCATCCAACGACTAGACAGACCTGAGTCTTGCCTAATGACGTGGTTCCCATCTGATGAGGGCAATTACCCGCTGGTGCAGGGTGGTCTACCAACGGCGGAGTGGTACACACAAGATGTACACACTAGATGTACACAGTGCCTGTACACAAATTAACTTGGTTATCCTGTCTAACAAGGCGAGGAGGGGGGGGGGGAGAGGATACAAATTACAGCGGGTATAACTTTTAAACAAGCCACGACCCCCCCCCCTCCCCCGATGGTCAGACTGCCCACGGTATTATTGTAAGAAAAAAGTCTCAGGAAAAAGCCACAAATGTGTATTTGCGTGAAAATTTCAAATAGGTGTATGTATTAAATATTGAGAAGTGCATATCAACATACAATTAATTAAATGCTATGTATACATTTCGAGATCCATGTGCGTAGGTCAATCTAACTTGAAGAATGCAGCTTTAATTCCATTATACTTATAACATAACATAATGAAGTAAAATTTATAAGAAAAATCAAATCCGCTCAGTTAATAGTGTTTTTTTTAATACAAACAGTACATCAGCATAACATGGGAAGAATAATATAATTAATATGATTTGCTGTCCTCAACTCATTGAAACAATTGCTCAACCACCTTAACTGCCAACATTTATCACGCTCATTACATAAAACGCAGATTCAAGACAAAAGGCCGACACGGTACAAAGGCTGTCATTGATGCAGTCGCCAACTATACACATTATGCCCTGACAACAAAAACTAGAGAAGGCTTAGGGCAAAATTAAAAAAAAAAATTTTTATAGATCTTACTAACAAGCTTTTAAAAGCTTTGGTCGCGCATGAGATCTTTTACATATTTTAGCGACCAAAGCCTGTATGAAAGAAAGCAAATTAGTTTTATTTTACAGTGCATTTAAAAGCTAGTTATTAGAAAGGTTTTTAATATTCGATTTATTTCCTACTTTAGTAAATTACTAAATTATTTAGTCCACACTACAAAGGCTACACCTGAGAATATTTGCTTCAAAACACTTAGTAGCTCGCGATCTCTGAAAGTCGATTATCTTAAGTCCCGCCATTCTCTGTTAGCAGACGACAGCAGGCTGATCAAGCGATGGCCAGTTATTGTTACCTCCCTTTCGTTTCAAATCGGTTAAAAACTATTATCTGCCACAGTCCTGTGCCTACATGTCTTTTCTAATTAATTTGAACATCAGCGTTTCAAATAAGTAAATAACACAAGTTAGGGCTGCTGCGTAAATTATCTTCAAATATTTTTACTTGTTAATAAGTCGGAGTCAATTTCTTCCGGGGCGGAGCCGCCCCCCCCCCCCCAACGAAATGGAATTTATGTAGAACATATATACTTTTACCAATGCCCCCCCCCCCCCCCGGAGAAAAAAGTCTCAAAGAAACACAGTTGGGAGTATTAATATAAACCATAAAAATGTTTTTTAACATGTAGACATATCTTACTAAATAAATGCCATCCATATCTTATAAACAGTAAAACAATATATAAAACAATATAAAATATATAAAACAATATATTAAAAATATATTGCATAATACACATTTATGCCTTTTGTGTGAGCTTTTTTTTTCAAATAAAATGTTTCCTTTGTGACTTTTTTCGTGACTTTCTGTCAAACAAAACTGACTTTTTTTCGTGACTTACTCCCACTTGACCCACGTTACACCATGTAAAAGTGGCCATGTCTGCAACCCCGTCTGTCCTTGTACAACAATGTACATCAAATCGTCCTAACTCACCATTCAATACACTCTAGCCATGTACAACAATGTACACTCTAGCCATGTACAACAATGTACATCAGATAGCCCTAACTCACCATTCAATACACTCTAGCTATGTACAACAATGTACACCCTAGCCATGTACAATAATGTACAGTAGATCACCCTAACTCACCATTCAATACACCCTAGCCATGTACAATAATGTACATCAGATGGTCCTAACTCACCATTCAATACACTCTAGCCAGGTACAATAATGTACATCAGTGTACATGTACAATAATGTACATCTGATCACCCTAACTTACCATTCAATACACTCTAGCCAGGTACAATAATGTACATCAGTGTACATGTACAATAATGTACATCTGATCACCCTAACTCAGCATTCAATACACTCTAGCCGTGTACAATAATGTACATCAGATGGTCCTAACTCACCATTCAATACACTCTAGCCAGGTACAATAATGTACATCAGTGTACATGTACAATAATGTACATCTGATCACCCTAACTCACCATTCAATACACTCTAGCCAGGTACAATAATGTACATCAGTGTACATGTACAATAATGTACATCTGATCGCCCTAACTCAGCATTCAATACACTCTAGCCAGGTACAATAATGTACATCAGTGTACATGTACAATAATGTACATCTGATCACCCTAACTCACCATTCAATACACTCTAGCCAGGTACAACAATGTACATCAAATCGTCCTAACTCACCATTCTTAGAATACCCTATAACCAGCCAGTCTATTTTTAGCCACGGTTATCTTGTATCTCATTGGTTAGATTAGTACTTCCGGTTTCATTGAACAATTAAGGTTAGAGTACACAGAAACAACCTAGCCAGATTTTAATTAATGAATCAGACCAGTTGATTCATGACGGTAGTAAGTGGGTGGGGGTGGTTGGGTGAGGGGGTGGTTGGGTGTGTGGGTGGAGGTGGTTGGGTGAGGGGTGGGGGTGGGGGTGGGTGAGGGGGTGGTTGGGTGAGGGGGTGGTTGGGTGAGGGGTGGGTGTTGTTGAGTGAGTGGGGGTGGGGGTGGGGGTGGGGAGTGTTGGATACAGAGGGAGGGGATCAAGGCAAGCAATATATACCACGTGATGCCAACATGACACAAGTTGACTGAAGAAAGTTAGGGACGACAACCGAACACACAATCAGGATATATAGCACAACATCGAGAACCACATCTTTAAATACAATTGAAAAAATCAAAGCATGAAACGACAAGTTTTCTTATCAAATCTTGGCGTCAAAACCTCTGAGAGAATATTTTACACGCCAAATTTCTCCGTGATTTACATAACTCACTCCCGATGAGAAGCAAAACGCCAGTCAGAAGGAAGGCGGGTGCTAATCCTGACGGGCAAGATGGACGCCATCACTCAGACGAGAGACGGCACAGCCACCGGCAAACGATGTTTGTCATTTATAAGCTAAAGTTTGACGACACGGGTAGCAAATTACAAACATCAATCAAAACAACAGACGCCACGCGGGGATAAAAATAGGACAGGATTTCACTCTTACGAAACCTCTCCGCGTGGATGTAGATCCTACGGGCTGTGTGGTGAGGCGTAGGCCTGCGATGTGGGGAAATAGTTCAGGTTGTAGCAGCTAAACAGTGACGGAGCTTTACCATGGACCTACGACCAAACCTACCAAATCTGTGGGTATAATTAAACACAAAACAAGCGGCACACAATATTCTGTTGAGCTGCTGAACACAACCCCCCTCCTCTAGCCAGTGGTCCTATCTAGCCAGTGGTCCTATCTAGCCAGTGGTCCTATCTAGTCAGTGGTCCTATCTAGTCAGTGGTCCTATCTAGCCAGTGGTCCTATCTAGTCAGTGGTCCTATCTAGCCAGTGGTCCTATATAACTGTCATATCTAGTCGTCGGTGATGTGGTCCTATATAACTGTTGGTCCCATCTAGCCAGTGGTCCTGTGGTCCTATCTAGTCAGTGGTCCTGTGGTCCTATCTAGCCATTGGTCCTGTGGTCCTATCTAGCCTTTGGTCCTGTGGTCCTATATAACTGTTGGTCCCATCTAGCCAGTGGTCATGTGGTCCTATCTAGCCAGTGGTCCTGTGGTCCTATCTAGCCTTTGGTCCTGTGGTCCTATATAACTGTTGGTCCCATCTAGCCAGTGTTCCTGTGGTCCTATCTAGCCAGTGGTCCATCAACCAGGCCCACGCCCTATGCTGCCATTAAAGACACGAGACAGCCCACTAGAGAGCCAGTATAGCACAGATTGTGACCAGAGAGTACAGCCCGCTAAAGTCGGATCACTGCGCATGTCTTTATTCACGGCTTACATCCCTTGACGGGCTGCAGGTGTATTGAGAGGCCGGCAAAAACTTCATTGAAAACAATCGCCATTGTTAGACACTGATGGCATTTTCTCATTTCTAAACTTATTTTTGTCTTCCAGTTACCGGAAGGGGAGGCGGGGGGAGAGGGGTGGGAAGGAGAGGTCGGGGTAGGCTTGACAGTAAAGTTACAGCAAACCAACTTCACCACTGTATCTTTTCACCCCCCCCCCCCCCCCCACCATACGTGAACGGACAAGCCGGTTTAAATAAAACGCTAAGCATGCCAACATCTCGTCTATAAATAGATTTAAATACCATTTCATTAGGTAGATCAGAAGAGACAATGTATTTTTATTGAGTTCTGCGGTGGCCTATTTTCATTTTATTTAAACAGTTTTTTATTTATTTATTTATTTATTTATTTGTAATCTCCACGACACGAACTGAAATGAAGCCGTTAACTACCATCAATGGCGTACTCTAACAGTCAACCTTTACCTTATTTGCAGACCATGCCCTCCATAGCCGCCTACCTGCTCCCTCTGGCCTTGTTAGCCATTTTCCACTGTGCCGCCCCTGCTAAGGAAGGTAGCGGACCCTTGAGAGGCAACGCCTTACAGCAGCTACTGAGGAAACGGTCCTTAGAGGCGGCCCTACAGCCCCCAGCTGCCTTTTTTGAGGAGGTAAATACAACTTTTTGTACACAGAGTACAGGTTCGTGTACAAACACCAGAGTACAGGTTCGTGTACACACACCAGAGTACAGGTTCGTGTACACACACCAGAGTACAGGTTCGTGTACACACACCAGAGTACAGGTTCGTGTACACACACCAGAGTACAGGTTCGTGTACACACACCAGAGTACAGGTTCGTGTACACACACCAGAGTACAGGTTCGTGTACACACACCAGAGTACAGGTTCGTGTACACACACCAGAGTACAGGTTCGTGTACACACACCAGAGTACAGGTTCGTGTACACATACCAGAGTACAGGTTCGTGTACACACACCAGAGTACAGGTTCGTGTACACACACCAGAGTACATGTTCGTGTACACATACCAGAGTACAGGTTCGTGTACACACACCAGAGTACAGGTTCGTGTACACACACCAGAGTACATGTTCGTGTACACATACCAGAGTACAGGTTCGTGTACACACACCAGAGTACAGGTTCGTGTACACACACCAGAGTACAGGTTCGTGTACACACACCAGAGTACAGGTTCGTGTACACATACCAGAGTACAGGTTCGTGTACACACACTAGAGTACAGGTTCGTGTACACACGTTAAAGTAGAGGTTCGTGTACACATACACGTTAAAGTAGAGGTTCGTGTACACATACACGTTAAAGTAGAGGTTCTTGTACACTCATGAACTTCCTTATGGATTCCTTCATATGCACACACAAATTTAATAAATGACAGTAATTAGACCAGCCAATGAGAGTGCCCGTCCAACAGATGAAAAAGAAAAGGCTGATCTTTGGGTTGCGACATTTGAGGCAGTGGGTGGGGGAGCAGGGAGGTTGGACGGTCTGATGATCATTTGTTTTGAAGGGTCAAGTCGTGATGCTGATGATTCAAGGGCGGGGCGGTGGGGGGTATGGGGGGGATGGGGGGGGGGGGGGGGGGGGGGGTCGGTCGCTGGGTCAGTCAAATGGTCGTGTTGGGGTCAGTTAAATGGTCGTGTTGGGGTCAGTCAGATGGTCGTGTTGGGGTCGTGTTGGGGTCAGTTAAATGGTCGTGTTGGGGTCAGTCAGATGGTCGTGTTGGGGTCGTGTTGGGGTCAGTCAAATGGTCGTGTGGGGGTCAGTCAAATGGTCGTGTTGGGGTCAGTCAAATGGTCGTGTTGGGGTCAGTCAAATGGTCGTGTTGGGGTCAGTCAAATGGTCGTGTTGGGGTCGTGTTGGGGTCAGTCAGATGGTCGTGTTGGGGTCGTGTTGGGGTCAGTCAAATGGTCGTGTGGGGGTCAGTCAAATGGTCGTGTTGGGGTCAGTCAAATGGTCGTGTTGGGGTCAGTCAAATGGTCGTGTTGGGGTCAGTCAAATGGTCGTGTTGGGGTCAGTCAAATGGTCAAGTTGGGGTCAGTCAAATGGTCGTGTTGGCGTCGTGTTGGGGTCAGTCAAATGGTCGTGTTGGGGTCAGTCAAATGGTCGTGTTGGGGTCAGCCAAATGGTCGTGTTAGGGTCAGTCAAATGGTCGTGTTGGGGTCGTGTTGGGGTCAGTCAGATGGTCGTGTTGGGGTCAGTCAAATGGTCGTGTTGGGGTCAGTCAAATGGTCGTGTTGGGGTCGTGTTGGGGTCAGTCAAATGGTCAAGTTGGGGTCAGTCAAATGGTCGTGTTGGGGTCAGTCAAATGGTCGTGTTGGGGTCAGTCAAATGGTCGTGTTGGGGTCAGTCAAATGGTCGTGTTGGGGTCAGTCAAATGGTCGTGTTGGGGTCAGTCAAATGGTCGTGTTGGTGTCAGTCAAATGGTCGTGTTGGGGTCAGTCAAATGGTCGTGTTGGGGTCAGTCAAATGGTCGTGTTGGGGTCAGTCAAATGGTCGTGTTGGGGTCAGTCAAATGGTCGTGTTGGTGTCAGTCAAATGGTCGTGTTGGGGTCAGTCAAATGGTCGTGTTGGGGTCAGTCAAATGGTCGTGTTGGGGTCAGTCAAATGGTCGTGTTGGGGTCGTGTTGGGGTCAGTCAAATGGTCGTGTTGGGGTCAGTCAAATGGTCGTGTTGGGGTCAGGCAGGTGGTCAAACTACAATTTAGAGGTTAGTCAACATATGGTCACGCTAGGGTCGGTCAACATACACTAAAGCTAGAATTTAGGGATCAGTCGCCCTATGGTCAAGCTAGAATTTAGGGATCAGTCGCCCTATGGTCAAGCTAGAATTTAGGGATCAGTCGCCCTATGGTCAAGCTAGAATTTAGGGATCAGTCGCCCTATGGTCAAGCTAGAATTTAGGGATCAGTCGCCCTATGGTCAAGCTAGAATTTAGGGATCAGTCGCCCTATGGTCAAGCTAGAATTTAGGGATCAGTCGCCCTATGGTCAAGCTAGAATTTAGGGATCAGTCGCCCTATGGTCAAGCTAGAATTTAGGGATCAGTCGCCCTATGGTCAAGCTAGAATTTAGGGATCAGTCGCCCTATGGTCAAGCTAGAATTTAGGGATCAGTCGCCCTATGGTCAAGCTAGAATTTAGGGATCAGTCGCCCTATGGTCAAGCTAGAATTTAGGGATCAGTCGCCCTAGAGTCAAGCTAGAATTTAGGGATCAGTCGCCCTAGAGTCAAGCTAGAATTAAGGGATCAGTCAACATGTCAGCTAGTATGTAGGGTTAATTAACATATGGTCTAGCTAAATTAAAATGAGTCAACACCGCACGGAAAAGCAATAGCGTACAAAAAATCGCATATACTTTTCTAGTTTTTCCGCGAACCCATCCACCCCGAAAAACTCTCATATACTACGTATTTTGCGAGCCCATCCACCTCGAAAAACTCGCATATACTAGGTATTCTGCGAACCATCCTTGATCGGAATTCCCTGCCATAACCCCCACAAACTAATCGGATCTGACCCCTCGCCTCTATGGCCCTTGAGCCGCTGACCCACAGGGCCGTGTCAACAGCTGTCCACTGTGGTCATCTCGTCACTTCCTGTCCACTGTGGCCATCTCGTCACTTCCGGTCTACTCGAGCATCGTTGACCGCGTCGGTCCAGCGGTCAATTGTTTAACCAAGCCAACCGTCCGCCGTCTAAAGGGGGGGGGGGAGGGGAGAGTACACCCCAGGGAGGAATATCAATACGCCCGCCGGACAGCATCGATTCTACTTTTAATGATGAGCTAACAACCTAATGGGATCGAACGCTATTAAATATTCGCGCTGCACGTGACGTCATGTCTAAAAATAGCCAGCGCGAGAAACCCGAACGCGCCTGCTACCGGAAAAGACAGCGGACATTGCAAGAGCCTATTGTATAGGACGCTTTTTTTTTTTAGATTGAAAATATCAGTTGCGTCATTTTTAAATTTTTATTTTGTGAACAGACGTGAGTTTTTTAAAGGTCAGAATTTAAATATGACATAAGCTATGGGCCACACATGGTATGGAGGAGATGTGGATGTTGGGGGGAAAAAAATCGAATCATAAAATTTCGTGACAAAACTCGTTTTTAATAATTGATAGCTGTAGAGACACGTTTTCACGGTGAGGCAAATATACATACAGTCGGGTAACTGACAGTTTAGTGGCGGCCCAATACAGGTCAAACCATGACGGCCCACCAACCACACGACGGCCCACCAACCACACGACGGCCCACCAACCCCAAGACGGCCCACCAACCCCAAGACGGCCCACCAATCCCAAGACGGCCCACCAACCCCAAGACGGCCCACCAACCACACGACGGCCCACCAACCACACGACGGCCCACCAACCACACACAACGGCCCACCAACCACACGACGGCCCACCAACCACACACAACGGCCCACCAACCACAAGACGGCCCACCAACCGCACGACGGCCCACCAACCACATGACGGCCCACCAAACAAACACACGACGGCCCACCAAACAAACACACGACGGCCCACCAACCACACGACGGCCCACCAACCACACACGACGGCCCACCAACCACACACGTCGGCCCACCAAACATGACGGCCCACCAAACAAACACACGACGGCCCACCAAATGTACCAGCCCTATCTCCCCATTTCTCCGACAGATGGAGCCCCTGGGCAAGAGAGGCGAGCAGTGGATCTGGATGCCGGCCCACGGGTATATGCCGGTGCCGACCAATGAGGTGGAGGAGGACAACACCAACAAGGACACCATCAGCAACCTCCTACGTTACGGCTGAGCCGGCCTGTCATTCCATGTGATGATCGCATTAAACTTTTAAATTGACCGCTCGACTTCTTGTCTTCATTGGGGGAACTCGGGTTTTGGGAGCTAGATTACACTTATATTGTCAAGAGGTCGTCCATAAATGACGTCACGTTCGTAGGGGGGTCCGTGATTTTGTGACACTGTGTGATGAGGGGGAGGGGGAGGGGGGAGGGTTCAGATGGTGTGATATCACACTTTTGCATTATAAAAAATCAATGTTAAAAAACGAGTTATAGCCGTTATTTTGCGTTTTATAAAAAGGTTTAATATATTGTAATAGGAATCAAAATACTTTATGTTGACAGAGTTTTTTAAAGAAAATTTCAACAGCGATTTTGAGGGGGGTTGTAGGCTGAGATGTGACGTCATTTTAGGGGTGGGGGTCTCTGTTTTATATGACGAAGTGTGACAGAGGAGATGGGGGAAGGTAAAAATCGGCCAAAAAAGCGTGACGTCATTTATGGATGACTTCCAAACACAAACATTACCAGATTGTATAACACGATGATACAGCTTACCCGAAAGTCTCAAGTTCGAATTCCGGGATCGTGTCAGTAGAACGTCCCAGAAACCACCCAGCTCTGATGGGTACCTGACTCACATCAGTGAAAGTAAAGGCACATGGGCATAGTGCTGACCACACTATCCCTTTATATACCGAGGTCTGACAGGTGAACTCGTCTTCATCTAGCCCAGGGGTCTCCAAACTACGGCCCGCGGGCCGGATGCGGCCCGCGATGTCCTCTCATCCGGCCCGCGGAGATCTTTTTGTCCACTGAAAAAACGTTTGTTGGTGATGGCTGAGGAACTTTGCTCAGAAAAATCACGACATGCCTGGAAGAAACAGGCCCCCGAACTGAAATTTGGTAGTTAATGCGGCCCTCGGGCTGAAAAGTTTGGAGACCCCTGATCTAGCCCATGGTCTTGGACACGAACGGGGAAAAAACATGTACCCAACATGTCCGATGCTTGTCAAATGTAGAAAAAAAAACCCCGCCTAATACGACCATTCAGAAGGTCGTTAGCCTGCTCGCAGTGTAATCTGGCTATATGAACAGCGGCTCTCAACCCTAATGTAACAAGTTTTATTTTAAAGGAAATCTGCGCTACCTTTAGCACAGTGGCTTTCAACCCCAATGTAACAAGTTTTATTTTAAAGGAAATCTGCGCTACCTTTAGCACAGTGGCTTTCAACCCCAATGTAACAAGTTTTATTTTAAAGGAAATCTGCGCTACCTTTAGCACAGTGGCTCTCAACCCTAATGTAACAAGTTTTGTTTTAAATGAAATCTGCGCTACCTTTAGCACCGAATGTAAAGAAAAATTAACACAACGCTAACCCAAAAAAAAAAAAAAAAAAAAAAAAAAAAAATACCAACGTCAACAAAACCTAAACAGTAACACCTATCACTTGTATAGTCAAACGAATAATTAAATGTCGTAAAATTAATTTAAAGACTAGTCTTTTTAAAAAAAAACTCCACAAGCTTATACACAACGTCATGAAAATCGTTGCACCAAAGATGCACCATTTGTTAATGTTATCAGTCGTGTGAACTGTCTGTCTTACACTCACTATTCTATTCACATTGTTGCCATCACATGTAGAAATCTAATATTACTTGAGTGCTAGCCCCCCCCCCCCCCGGTCAATGATTGGCTGTAAGGACCACCAATACTTTGTTATTAGCTATAGGGTTTGTAAGTCTACGGTCTCGAAATCTACTAGCTGCATAGTACGAGAAAGAGAAGTTGTGACCTACTTACTAGCCCTATAAGGTCCACCATTACTTTTGTGCTACTCACCCAGTCATTGCTTATTCGCCCAGTTAAAAAAAATTATGTCTCGCACTTCAAGTCAAAATATTTGATTAAAAAGGTCAAGTCAAAATATTTGATTAAAAAGGTCATGCCCATGTATGTCAGGTCATAAAAAAAAAGGTAACATCAAATTTGAAAGAAATCGGTTCGAACTAAAGCGATATAACACAAACGACTGACATTGTGCAAAGTTTTAATATCGCAGCTATAAATCTCCGGAGTTCTTCTCAAGATGGCGAGTGCTGTGACGTCATTACTGGTGCACGAATATGGTTAGTCCGCCACAACCTCGTCCATAGCTTAGACGAGTCACTGAAAATTATGACACATTCATTCATCCAGTTCAATATTCACTTCATTGTTTCCTATAGTTATTGGCGCCCCCTTAAGGTTGGCGCCGGGGCGGCCGCCCCACCCACCCACCCTCCCCTAGCTACGCCTCTGTCGCAAGTCTGACAAAGTTGCTTTAGATTATTCTATGAGGTGACCATAAACTGGTTGAGAAAAAAAAAAAAACGTTTACCAACCCCAGCCAAGCAAAAGGTCAGTAGAACAGTGAGGTCTGAAGAAACTCGGTCTGGTCGAAAGAGGAAGTGACCTGATGAAAACTAATGGGCATGTCTTTGTTCTTGACCTTAAACTACAGGTTTTCATCTAGCTAACACACTTGAGACAAGGATAGGAAGTTCCATGTGGGTGTGGCATACGCTAATCCATGTGGGTGTGGCATATGCTAATCCATGTGGGTGTGGCATACGCTAATCCATGTGTGTGGCATACGCTAATCCATGTGTGTGGCATATGCTAATCCATGTGTGTGGCATATGCTAATCCATGTGGGTGTGGCATACGCTAATCCATGTGGGTGTGGCATACGCTAATCCATATGTGTGTGGCATACGCTAATCCATATGTGTGTGGCATACGCTAATCCATATGTGTGTGGCATACGCTAATCCATATGTGTGTGGCATACGCTAATCCATGTGGGTGTGGTATACGCTAATCCATGTGGGTGTGGCATACGCTAATCCATGTGGGTGTGGCATACGCTAATCCATATGGGTGTGGCATAAGCTAATTCATATGTGTGTGGCATGCGGGCAGGGTTACAGGAAACACTAAAACAGGATTATCCCAGCTGGATTATCCCAGCAGGATTATCCTAGCTGGACTAACGGAACATGATCATCTTACACATAGAAAACAGAAAGGTGTCACTGAAAGGTGAGATGGGGTGTCACAAAAACTTTCTTATCCACACTTATCTTGTACGAGAGATACATTTTATCCCACTTATCCTGTTATTTTTATCCCACATTATAATGGTACCCCCCCCCCCCCTCCCCCCATAGTATGGAATGGTCTTGTAGAGAGAATCATGTTAAATTTACTGAGTGTATACAAAAACTGTCATACATAGCACTTTATCTTGCGAGCCAATAAAACTCATACATAGCACTTAATTTATAAAGTTTATCTTGTGAGCCAATAAAACTCATACATAGCACTTAAAGTTTATCTTGCGAGCCAATATAAAAAGCCAGTACATGTAGAGTTTTTACTACACCAGTACCCACACAGAATCCACATTACAGAGCCCATATCCCACATTACAGAGCCCAAATCCCACATTACAGAGCCCATATCCCACATTACAGAGCCCATATCCCACATTACAGGGCCCATATCCCACATTACAGAGCCCAAATCCCACATTACAGAGCCCAAATCCCACATTACAGAGCCCATATCCCACATTACAGAGCCCATATCCCACATTACAGAGCCCATATCCCACATTACAGAGCCCATATCCCACATTACAGAGCCCATATCCCACATTACAGAGCCCATATCCAAGCCAATATGTACATCTATCACAGACCATGATCACAGACTGTTGTTTTGTTGGGAGATATGTTTATAATGGCACTAAATGTAAGAGTATGGCATGTGAAATGTTACAAGTGAGATGCAAAAGGGATTTTACAACAAAGAGCTAACAGAGTAGAAAGGGAAGCTAACAAGTTTTAAAAATGGAGGTACTTCTTGTTTAAAAGGGGAGCTAACAAAGTATCAAAGGGGAGTTAAAGTAGAATAGGAATGACAGCACAGAAAAAGGGTATAAAAGACTCAACTTACAGCTTTCTTCTTGCTGCGATAACCTTTGCCCTCTTGGTGGCGCTCCCAATCTTCTATCCTTTCTTTACGCTTTTCTTCCTCCTTCTGTGGAATACAAAGGTTGGCATAAAAAGGTTGGAATCAAATATGAGACTACACTGACAACCCCACACAACCCCACACAGACTGACCTTCTGTCTCTCAGCAAACTCCCTCGCCTGTTCACCCCACACCCCCACACAACCCCACACAGACTGACCTTCTGTCTCTCAGCAAACTCCCTCGCCTGTTCACCCCACACCCCCACACAACCCCACACAGACTGACCTTCTGTCTCTCAGCAAACTCCCTGGCCTGTTCATCCCACACCACTCCACACACACACCCACACACACCCCACACAACTGACCTTCTTCTGTCTCTCAGCGAACTCCCTCGCCTGCTCACCCCCCCCCCCACACCCCACACAGACTGACCTTCTTCTGTCTCTCAGCAAACTCCCTCGCCTGCTCACCCCCCCACACCCCCACACAGACTGACCTTCTGTCTCTAAGCAAACTCCCTCGCATGATCACCCCCCACACCCCACACAACTGACCTTCTTCTGTCTCTCAGCAAACTCCCTAGCCTGCTCATCCCACACCCCCCCACACACACACAACCCCACACCCCACACAGACTGACCTTCTTCTGTCTCTCAGCAAACTCCCTGGCCTGTTCATCCCACGTCCCCCCCCCCCCCACACACCCCACACAAACTGACCTTCTGTCTCTCAGCAAACTCCCTGGCCTGTTCATCCCACCCCCCCCCCCCACACACCCCACACAACTGACCTTCTGTCTCTCAGCAAACTCCCTCGCCTGCTCACCCCACGCCCCCCACACACACACCCTCACACACCCCCCACAATCTGACTGACCTTCTTCTGTCTCTCAGCAAACTCCCTAGCCTGTTCATCCCACACACCCCCACACACACCCCCACAACACTGACCTTCTTCTGTCTCTCAGCAAACTCCCTGGCCTGCTCATCCAGCTTGGCCTGCATCCTGAGCCGAGATCTCTCCATGGCCTCGAGCCTGCTCTGTGCAGCAGACGTGTCTGGCGTCATTCAAGCACAAAATTAATCAGTTAGTAACAAGGAGGGAGGGGGGAAATGGAAGGGGGGATAGGCTGGTCTCTCAGCTAAAGCTCAGGTTTAGTTTTAAAAACCCCAAGCAAAGTATCATTGCTACCTTGAAAATTTAAAGAAAAAATTAAAAACTCATAAAATTTTAAGACTAAAAATATAGTATGTCTTGAACTCTAGCTTTCACTGGCTTGACATAAAGGGCAGTGGTTCAATCCTAATACTCATTGTTAAAAGAACATAACTGTTTAAAACATTTTCACAAAAAAAGTTTTGGTAAATTATTGAAATTACAAAACCATTGCACAACACACCTCATTGCATTTACTTAAATAATAATAATGAACCAATATTTTAATTGAAACTTGACTAGATAAGATGAGAATAAATAAGATGAGAAACTTGAATGAACTGACTAAATGATTCTTCTACTCACCAAGACAGAAAAATTACTTTATATCATATAACAACTATGTGTACAGCTGATACAACCTTGAGGGAATCTAAAGTCACTTGGATCAGTCAAGTGATGTGTTAAAACTATTCACCTGACTTACTGGAGCAGTCACATACACACAGAGCTGCCTGGGTGAGTGAACAGACAGCTCAACACACTATTGTAAACAAGGCTGATTCACAGCTCAACACACTGAGTTCATGGCACACCAAAACTACACAGGTCAAAGGTGGTACTAAAAAAACAATAAGTTTCACAGACTAATCTAGTAGTAGATAGAATTTACAAACCAAATTTAGAATTGTTTAGTGTAACAGTTCAACAAACACAACTTGTTTACAACACAGGTACCCAGGGTAGCAGAGCACTTGTCACTGTTAGTTTCATAGATGTGATGTGGCTAAGTATTTTCTTCACAAGATTTTGTGAAGATATGAAAAGCTGTTTTAGAAGGGACTGTGATTTGTTTTATCTTCAGCATAGCTTTGAATGAGTTTAGGGCTAGTGTACAAAGGGAAATAATCATGAAAATTCCTACAGTTTGTACAGAGTTATCTCTAACAGCAACAGGTGGTCCCAAACTGTAAACATGTTATTGACATTTTCTGACAGGGTTGTCGTATGTCTGTTGTCACACATCTGGTACATACACCTCTCAACCAGGGTTGTCACGTGTCTGGTCCCTACACCTCTCAACCAGGGTTGTCACATCTGGTCCCTACACCTCTCAACCAGGGTTGTCACACCTTCCAGCCCCTCCCTCAGTACTGGCATGATGTGACACTTTAGGTTATATCTATTTTATTTCCACTTGACAAACCAAACTAATTAAATCTGATTAAGGCTGCTAGTTTAATTAATAAAGATAATTAAGAGCTTAAATTTGTGTATAGCTAACTTTTTCTTCTTTTTACCAAAACTAGGCGTCACAGTACTGTATCAAGGTTATAATTCTGTCAATATCATCACTGTAAGGATTTAGGTTAAGAAAAGAAAAAGAAAACATCGCAAAACATGCATTGGACTGGAATCCCCAGGGGAAAAGGAGGGTGGGCCGGCTAAAGAAAACATGGAAGAGAACGGTTGAGGAAGAGGCAAAAACAGCTGGGCTCTCATGGGCACAGATTAGAGGAGCAGCCCAAAACCGAGTCCGCTGGAGATGTGTGGTTGCAGTCCTTTGCACCCAGGGGCCATAAAGGAAGGATGATGATGAAGGATTTAGGTTTCATATAGTCTTGCAGTGGGGGAAAAAGGTGTGGTGCTTTATCTATACAGCTTGTGATCTTACTTGTTTCTGATGACCTTATCTATACAGCGTGTGATGACCTTATCTATACAGCGTGTGATCTTACTTGTTTCTGATGACCTTATCTATACAGCGTGTGATGAAAATAAAACTCACCTAATCTTTTGTACTGATCCTCTTGTCTCTGCTGGGAGAGATGGGAGAAGTAGCTCCTCAGTTTGCCGTACAAGTAGTAGGCCAGGAGAATCCCGATCAAGATGACCCAGCCATACAGCTGAAGAATTCCTGTGGCTGAAATAATGAGACAGGTATCCAGGGCTAAGATATTCACATCATTGTTCTAGTATTACAATAACTATTTTGAAACCTTGGCAAAACAAACATGTGAAATAATAAAAATTAAATAATTGCAATATTCTTCTTTCATAAAAAAAAAATTCCATACAGGAGCTTATAGAAGTTATAAGGAAAAATATTAATTAGTTAAGCAGTCAATGGTATTTTAATTTCAAAGTATTAGAGATCCTCTTAGCTGCTAGTAGGATAAGGATAAGGAATCCACTCTCTAGCAGTTTATCAGTTCTGATTCTAGAAACTTGAAGGGTAAAATCTACTCACAACTCTCTGCTCTATAGTGGTTAAAAAGGGAACACAAGCTAATCAATAAAATATTTTTAATTATCATTGCCATTTGTGGAACTTAATTTGTTTCAGAAGATTTTTAATTACCTACCTGTGCTAAACACAGCTTGTATAAAAGCTGGATCTTCATTCCTTGGTTCTTCAGAATCTGCCTCCATTTTTAGAGGTGGCTTTTCTTTAGCAAATCATAAACTATTAAAGTAAAAGAACAAACATTTAGGCCTCTTTTAGAATTATTTTTACCCCCCCCCCCCCCCCCCCCCCCATCACATTTTGTCACAAAAATCTGACACTATCTGAACCCCACCCCCCTCATTGCATGTTGTCACAAAATCTATCGTTAGCTTATTACAGTAATCAGTGACTATTACTACCTAATAAATATCTATAATTTTTAAATGTATATTGTCAATGTCAAATATTGTTAGAAAGTATCAAGGTATTTATTCCTAAATCTAGAGCCTATTCCCATGTTGTTAGTTACATGTTGTATTAGTATGTTGTAAGTGTAAACGTTGTTAAGAATAGTAACTATAATTAATAGTTTAATAATAGAGAAAAACAAGTTAATTAAAAAGTCTAGTGACAATTTTAGCGCAATTTCCTTATGTTATCTAAAAATAGCTCTGTCGTAGCGTAAATCAAGAGCAGGGTTAGTAAAACCATTGGTTAGTTATTAAAACAATTTTTATTAAATAAACCTAACTACTAACTAAACTAAGCACCTTGAAATCAAGAGCAGGGTTATTAAAACCATTGGTTAGTTGAACTTGATTATCAACATGATAATCATTAAGATGATAGATCTCTACTTCCGGCATGTATATACAACCACACCACACGCGTCATCACGTTCAATAGATGCGTCATCGCGTTCCATGGCTGCGCCATCACGTTCAGTAGGCGCGCAAGTTAATTAAAAAAGTCTAGTGACATTTATGCGCAATTTCCTTATGTTATCTAAAAATAGCTCTGACGTATAATGATGGGGTGCGTTCAAGCTAGAAGAGCGATCGGTTTGTAGGTGTTTATGTAATTTTAAAATTTGTGACCGAACAAGAGGATATTTTTGAAAACTTTCTTCGGCAATATTGTTCTAAATTATGGCAGGAATCGATTGGTACATGTTTCAAGTCGCTAAGTGGTCTGGTTGCCGAGATATGGGCCAAAAACTGCATTTTTTCGAGGTTTTTTGGCTTTTACGGGAAATACATGAAAGAAACCCGGAATTTTTATGGCCTATGCTCATTCTCGTAACTTGCTTAACATAATTGCTTTTGGAACTAGTCATCGATATTGCTTCGTTGAGGAGGAGATACAACTTAAAGCCCGGACACACATTCATCCATTCATTCATCCATCCATTCCCAGAAATGACGAGTTAATAAACGCAATTCTCCAGAATGGAAATTGCGCTAAAAATAATTGTCACACTCCACTAGATCTAGTAGTTAGTAGGGGAATTTTTTATACCAGTGTCAGATAATATAATCCTCTTTAAAAAGGGGTGTTAGGTTACTGGTAGTTAACTAAAATAATAGGCCTACACAGTACACACATGTTATGCTAATGTTAATACTAAACTAACCCTATCCTAATTATTACTATTCTAAGTAGTAAGTAATAAGTAAGTATCCTTAATCCTTAGCCTTCAAGGTTTATTAACCCAACCCTACTCTTGCTAACAACCTAACACACCTGTTTTTATTTTTGGAAGAGTCTACTAGATCTAGATCTACTACTATGTAAAACTGAAGTACAAAGAAGTACTAAGTACTAGTCTATCACGGATAGTCTATCATTCAATAATCCTTTAAAAAAAGGTGTAAAAGTGGTAAAAAAAAGGCTAGTAATAGACAGTGATTTAGATCTCTATACTAGAAAATCTATACATCCTAATATATTATATATAATTGTTAGGTAGCCTAATTATTGAATTAATTAATAATTAGGCCTAATAATTATTTATATTAGGCCTAGGCCTATATAATTAACTTTAAAGTACAGTATTTACTTAGGACTTAGATCTAGAATCTAGATCGAGATCAGCTAAATTTATCTAACACAAGTAACACAAACAACATCAACACTTGAGAATCACAACAGCTAGACTTCTAGATCTAGACTATCTAGATTCTATCATCTAATCTAATTCTATGTCACTATGTCTAGTATGTCAGAGTACTCAGAGTCAGTGTTGAGTGTATTGTTTAGTTCTGACTGAATCACGAATCACTAAGAATAGCCTACTTCTTTAATCTTTACTTATTTTCTCTGACCGGGATTCAACGGGTCGATTCTAAATATTATCCAACTTGACTTTACTGTGTCTTTAACTCTTTAGTTAGAGTTTAGTAAGTAGTCTTTTTTTAGTCTTTAGTCCTCTTAGTTCTTACTAGATCTAAGTTCTTAGGCTCTTAGTCACGACTTACTAGTGAAGTCTTAGTTAGTCGTAAAAAATACTGGTAAAATGACACGCGTTAAGATCAATATCCCACAAATGTTTGAATCGTGGCGTCATCCCATCGATTAATAACAGATCTATATTTTAAAAACCTCTCTAGTGTAGATCTAGATCTATCTAGATTGTATTATTCTACTTAGATCTAGATCTAGATCTAGATTCTCTAGATTCTACTTACTTTTCTTCCATTGACGACAGATAGCCAATACGTCATCTAAACAAACGTGTTATTTACCTTTTTGTAAAAAGAGCTACAAATTGTTTTGGTTTGACAAATGTACAACACTGACAATAATAATAGGTTTCTCTGTTACAACCAGTGATTTGCAAAGAATGTTTCTTCCAGACTTCTTTCTTCGGGGGGGGGGGGGGGGGGGGCACTTAAAATTTTAGAGGGAGGGGTGGATACTGTTAAAAGTTGGTATATATTTTCTATATAAATTCCTTTGGGGTGGGGGGGGGGGGGGGGGGGGCGGATGGTGCGGACCGCACCGGGTGACACCATTTAGTGGGGTGACACCAAGGCAAAAAATAGCAAAATATATAGAGAAAATTTTGTTGTAATCATCGCAGAAATGGAATGAAATTAAATATGACATTGATTATAAGGTAATAATAAATATTAAAATAAATAATAAATAAGCTCTCATAAGTAAATCAGCAAAACAAAATGTCAAGTATACCAAAGTATGAAATATTATGACAGTATGACATCATTTGGAACATTTACTAAATAATAAAAACAAATTTAATAAAGATAATATGTATTTAAAATTAGGTCTTACTTCAACATAGAAGAAACTTTTTTATTACAAGTAGGCCTAAGGAGAAGGTTTGGAAACCCAAATTTTTTGTATCCTTACATTACTTCTTTGTTCTCAAATGTGTATTGTTGGATGAGATTTCCTCCTACACAATTAAGTATGTAAAAGTTCCCTTTCAAACCTGACTGTCTATAGGGCAAGTGAAGTAGAGTTCACTTGTTTTTGTGACCTCTGCATATGAAGAGAAATATGGTCAGCAGTATGCCCAGCCACTTTTACTTTCCCTAACTTGAGTTAGGTACCCATCAGAGTTGGGTGGACTCAGGGACAGTCTACTAACTTGAACTCAGATTCGAACACGAGACTTACGGGCTAGCAGTCCAGCTCTCTACCGCTAGACTACTCCGTTCCCCTAATTAAGTATGTGTCAACATGTTATGCATCATACAGGCCGCTGACTCCGATTTCCGCCTGCTTTTAATTCTGGATTTATTAAGCGCAATGGTTTGAACTTGGGACTTTTCAGTTCTGCGATCATGCGTTTTACCAGTCCTTCCCCCTAGCTCACAAAACACTCATGAAACTATTGGAGGAGATCAAACAACAAGTCCAACATCATTGATGAGCCCCTTGTGGTCATCACCTCACCATGATTTCTTCCAGGCATCTCCTTAAAGGTGCAGTAAGAGAAGAAAATTATAACCTGATGGTCAGTCTCCTGTATCATCAGACTGCCAAAAAAAAAAATAAGCAGGATCCAATATGTTGTTTAGAATGTATTTTATTGATATTTATTTACTGCATGAAATTTTTATTTCACAATTCATAGTAAAAATATCATGATAGTTGTTGACATTTTTTCAATTTAAGCAGATAAGCATGGTAATGCCTATTCAATAGATCTAAGAAAAATTCATGTAATTTAAACAAACAATGCATAAGTCAAGCAAATAAAAATTTATGTTACGTAAGTTTATAGGTACAAGAAACAAAAGATCATAGATATTTGATTGTACTCTCCTTCACCATAAGTGACAGTTTGCTTAGTCATGACCTTGTACCCAGATTGACAGGGGAGATAAGGAGTAACAAAGATAAAATTTTGCAAAGGGAGGACACATTAGTAACAGGCAAAAGATAAATGAAAATACAATAAAAAGTGTAATGGAACCCAATGGTAAAAAATGAATAATTTATTAGGGCATAAGCCAAGATTGAAAAAAATCAACCTATAAAATGGATCACAATATAAGTGGGGTCTGTACAAATTACTAAATACAATCTTCCAAGTGCTTTTGGTTACTTGTCATCTAATATAAACATCTTAAATACTAGGATACACAAGCAACAGGTTTACTAAACAGCTTATAACAAAAACTTAAATTAAACCGCAACCCTTGTCTGTTCTTGAACTTAACAGGAAGTAGCCATTTTATTTAAAGCTATAATAAATTAGACTGAGTATATATTTGAACTGCGTACAATAGAGGTAACAGTCTGCTATTTAGAACAGTGTGTCCATTAACCACCATAATTATTAATGCTGAGCTCATGGCTGTGACTTTACTGTTAAGTATTACACAAATTATGACTAAAAACTGATTAAACAACTAATATATGTAGAAAGGAAAAAACAACTTTTTAAAAAACTAACTTTTTATTTTAATTTTAGTGCTATCAAAAATGACCTTGATTTAATTTTTAATCACACTACCAAAAAAAAAACAACAGTATGCAGTACATTTTACATCAAAACTATTGTTCTTCGATCTAAAATGTTTTTAAAAAATTTTTAATCAAAGAATCACAGTTTTTTAAATTACTATATTTTTAAAAAATGTGAAAAACATGTAAAAAGAATAGTTTAAAAATACTTATTAGATTTTTTAAAGTTAAAATATTTTGAAATATTTAACCACAACAAGAATAATTTTTACAATTACAAGAAAGATAGTTTGAGGTCATATAGTGATTATTTTAATAAAATTACATGTGTATTTTTATTTTTTAATAATAAAAAAAGGAAATCTAGTTCAGCATTTCTATTAAGAAAAAAAAATTCCTATTAAACATTTACTCCTTCTTTAATGGAAGTCACTGGTGACATTCCCATTCAATCCAACATTAATTTTAGCACACAACAAGAACAGGTCAACATTAATCACCATCCATTTCCTAGCTGTCATAGAATATCTTTGCTAATTGGTATCGGATACCAAAAGCAATGCCGCTGCAGAGAATCTGAGGATGTAAAGATATTTTGAGTTGAAATTATAATTACTTTGTGTGCTGGACATCTTGATGAAGAAAAAAAATAGAAGCTGGAGGTTAAACAGGTTATTATTCAAAGATTTTTTTCTACCTTTTTCTTTAAAAAATTCTTGGATTGAAATGTAAGCATAATTAATGTAACTGTTATATCTTCCTTTCTCCACCCCTACCATCTCCTGCAATAACATCTTATATGTTCAAGATAACAATTTAACCTATGGAGGATCAATGTTATTTCCCATACCTGTATAAACAGCAGTATTATAACTAGTGTTCTCTCATGCAGTGGTCCAAGGAGCTTTAGCATCAAATTGTTCAGTGTAAAATTATTTACCTGAAATTAAAAAAAAATGTATTTATTTTAAATAACTATTATGTAAAAATAATAACATATAGGCCTAAATTGAATATTTTATATTGAATATATAAGCAGTCTTTAAACAGAAGCTAAACAGGTTAATTAAATTAAAGTTCTCAGTGATGATTACCTGCGTGTACAGCCCACCATCTCCTGTTCCTTTCTGGACAGTTATCAAGCCTAAGAGAGAATAAATACTGATGAAAAACTGACCAATCACACCTAGACTCCCAGTCTTAAAACTTGTATAACTCAAGTCTAGTTTTCCGGTATCTGGTCTTAATCTGCAAAAAAAAAAGTTTTTACTCATGAATTAAGTCAAAAATATTGACAAGGAAGCCTATAATTATCTCAGTTAATTCATCATCAACAAAACTTTGCAGTGTTGCAAATTAATTCTTTAAGTGGATAGCTATTAGGTAGTGGCAAATAATGCATAATCTGCAGTTTAATATTTTACTTCAATATAAATGTAATACTGAAGGTGGTCAATAATAAAATGTCTTATCTCAAATACTCCTACAATAAAAGGGAAAATGTTGGAACAGCTATTGGTAGTTTGTTTTCAACTCAAGCTAATGGGAATACAAAACTAAATTAAGATTTTTTTATATTCAGTAAAAGTCAACAAATCAAGGAACAGTTAATCTAGCAGTTACTTCAAGAAAATGGATCTGGCAACACAGGAGAAAATGGATCTGGCAACGCAGAAGAAAATGGATCTGGCAACGCAGGAGAAAATGGATCTGGCAACGCAGGAGAAAATGGATCTGGCAACGCAGAAGAAAATGGATCTGGCTAGCTATAGATACATGGACTTACCTGGGTAACCTGTGCCTAGGACAAGGGACAAAATGAAAGAGTTGGGGCACAGAGAAGATGAAGTTGATCACTTGTGGGATGAAAAACAGCAGCATGGTCTTGCTGAAGTGGGACAGGATCCCAACAACAGCGAATGTCATCCCGGCAAAGTAACAGTAGGTGTCACCGACAAACACTTGAGATGGGTACCTGGCAATGGATTCACCACAAACTTTACTAAAGGCAGCTTGACCATTGGTAACTTAAAGTTATATATATCATATACATAACTTAAATACTTGGTCATTTTTAGTGAATAAAAGTATCATATTTTCAATATCTTGTGTTGTAGTCAATATATTCATTGAGGTTGCTAGATCTACAAAGAAAATACAACCATAAAAGGTTTTCACCATATGGAATTCCCTCTCTATAGCCTGAACTTGAACTATAAATCTAGTAACGTCTGTTTGGAAGCTCAGAAAGTAAAAAGTATAGAGGGGCTGGGGCAGATACAGAAATATTCACATGTTGGTAGTTGAAAAACTGATAACATGACCACTTTGTAGGGATGATATTAATTAATTTTTTCATTGTTTTTATTAAGTTTAAATTATTGTTTCAAAGAATGCTTTACAAAATTAAATGAAAGTCATGTATGTATGTACAGCATTATGCTTAAAGAAAGCCTAGGGTTTTGTATGAATTAACAGGGTCGGCGTGGTCGGCTCATGGTTGCTGAAACAGATGAGGCTAGTTAGCTGGGGACAGCCACTCTTCTAGTTGAGACAAGTCCAAAATCAAACAACTTTGTAGTTTGCTCTTGGTTTGACAAAGGCTATGGAAGCAAATCCAAAAAGAAAAGCAGGCTGAGATTGGAGTCAATGGCCTTGATGGCACATAACCACTGGACATGTATACTTAATTGTGTTGGAGGGGATCTCTTACAACACTAAAATTAAGAATGAAGAAGAAAAAGAAGAAGTATGAATTAACAGCATATAGGTATAAGTATAAAAGAATTCTACGGATTATGGATGTGCATACAGTATTTGTAAGACTTACCAATTATGGTAGAGCAAAGCAGCACTCACAGCCAGGAAGGGCATCATGAAATACACGGAGAAGACATGACCCAACCTGTGCTCACCTAGGTAATCAATGGTATAAACACACCTGAATTCTGGTCATAGCCTACACATTCTTTTCAGTTCATTATTAGTTATTTTTTATCATGTGTTATATCAATGTGGGTATTGTTTATTTCTTGTTTCTGAGCTCTTAAATATTTTTCTTAAAAAGGTGGTAGTGATGTTACCTTGCATCTCGGCAAAATTAAAGATCAGGACTGAAAGACTTATTACACATGACTGGCCAACTTCTAAGCCATTTACGCCTGAGTGAATATTAATGGCATTGGTGCAAAACACAGCCAACATGCCCATATACAGATAATACAAAGGACCTGTCAAAAAATTAAACTTGATTGAAGTATGTGTATTTTGTCTAACACATAAAATGAAAAAAAAAGGGAAATATAATTTCATAATTTTGCATAGATAGCATTTGCCATTAAAAAAATAGGACGGTTAAATTATTTAAACAGTTTAAAAATGAAAACTTTTTATATAGCTATATAGATTAATAGAGGAAACGAGACGAACAATAATTACCCAAATTTAAGTCATATCCAATAAGCCACCTCAATTGAACTGGCATAATAACATTGGTCGCGTTGATGTTGATAAAGTAGACAGTCAAGAGTGGCAGCGAGGCAAATGTGGGCAGCAGGAGCTTGTGTCTCCACCTTAGATCCAACACATCATCAGCAAATCCAAGGAACACCATACAACATATAGATAAAAGGGCAGCCAGAAAGTGGATGTACTGTAGACAAAATTAAATTCAGTATTTTTTAAAAATGTGTATCTATGATCTGAAAAGATTAAAAAAAAAGTAATAAAAGGTGGTTTTCTATGTTTGCTGTTACAAAGGTGAAATTACCAAAGAACCACATATTTGCTATGTGCAAGGGAAATAACCAAAGTACTCTATATTTTATATCATACAAGGGAAATAACCAAGTACATCAAGATCTCTATTATAAAAGGGAAGTAATCAAAATAGCTCATGGATTCCATAATAAAAGGTAAACAATCAAAGTACCTCATGATGTGGAAACTTTCCTGGTGTATTATCCGCTAACTGCTTGTAAAATGGTATTGGCATGAACAGAAACATGGTACACAGAAATACCGCGCCACATACAACACCTAAAGCCTCTGGACTAAAAAAAATTAATACAATAAAATAAGTGAATAATTATTTACATTATTTGTTAATAGTAAAAATAATAGATGATCTAAGGAAAGCATTAGACTACTAAATTGGAACTCATTCAACTGTCTGCAATTAGCTCTTACTAATTAGTCAAACCAACATTTTATATTGCTGGTTAGTAGATAATGAGAGCTTAAGTCAAATAAAAAGGTTAAGATAAAGCCTGATCCAACAGCCTATTCATAAATTCTTTATAGTGATTTAATAGCAATCTAGCCTATTTTAAGCATATTTATTTACAGATTAATTTGATGACTGGGATGGTAGCATATTGTTGATATCAGTATTTTATAAGCTACTCATCAGGCTTTGATGAGTAGCCTAATCGGATTGCTTGTAAAACCAGCCATAAAAAATATAACAACTACATAGTATAGATCTAATAGATGACACGATGTTGGAATCTAGATTCTAAATCTACAAGTCTAGTATAATACTATAATTAACTATAGGAGTAATACTAATAGTATCCTAAAAAAGCCTGTGTGTGCACTTCTCTCTCTCTCTCTGCAGAATTTTTGAGGCTATGAGATCAGTATCTTCAGCACTATATATGGAGAACGTAATGATTCGGGCTTTTGTTGACAATAATATGTTGGATATGTATGTATTAAATGTATAAACTAAATTTTATTTTAAAAATAGAAGAAATAAAGGCATATTAGAATGTAAACACATTTTTAATTATGCAACCGGAAAACTGTTTAATGTGTTGACAAGCACGCAAAAAAAAAAACAATGACATCAAATGTCACATGTTTAAACTACCGAAAGTGCACAACACTAATGGAGTTATCTTTCAATTTTAGAATATGAAGAAATAAACGATTTCATTGAAATATGATTTAGATCTAGATCTATAGATCTATTAATCAAGATGTTATTTATGAAATTTATACAATTTTGTCGGCCAAACCTTGTACAAATTACTTTAAAAAACAACATAAATACTATTGAACAGCCGGGTTTTTAACAGAATCATTTAAACCTCTCAATTAGTGTGTGCATTTAATATTGTGTTGTGTTGACTAATAATGTATATAATTTGGTTTTTCTAAAAGGTATTGGTAGCCGATTTATTTTAAATATGTCGGATTTTTAGTTATTTAGTTATTTCTTTGCTTTGTCACTAATATTGTTCAACGTGTAGAAAAGCACATTGCGTTACATATTATCAATAGCCTAACTATTTTATAAATCATTATGTCCAAACAAGTACAACATTAAAAACATATAGGCCTATAATAAAATAAAGATTCTAATATCATGTGATGAGTTTAATAGGCCTACATACTACATACTAGATCTACATAACTTTAAAAATTCATATTAAAAAAAAACTATTAGGCCTAAAATGATAAATTTGGTATTTTTATCAATGGGGTATATTATATGATTAATCTGTGTCTATTTTATCATTCTATGATAATTAGATCTAGATCTAGGACAATGTTCCTAAGATGCCTATTCTAGAATCTAGATTAAAGATTTGGGTAATTTATCGTTTTAGGTACGTAAAATAGCCCGCGACTAGTAATGTGAAAACAGATGACTCCTTAAATTTTATTAACTATTTCACATTTTGAGGAGGATTTATGTTTTATGAAAAATACAAAAATGTATCCATGTTTCATTTATGTACCTGTTTTTAAACAATTGAATTAAAACTTTTCAGTAATAAATGAATTCTAGCGATGTTTCCAACAGATGCAACCATGCTCATTTACTGTAGCAGCCATCTTGTTTATTTTTTGTAAACTTATAGCGCAAGATTCAGGGGAAGCCACTCTAACTTGCAGATGGCCGCTTTTTATATAGCAAATCCTGCTCGCAAACACTGCTGTTTAAAGTTAATTTCTTGCCTATATTGATATATTTAGCCATTGATTTAGGTTTATTATTCATTTATCTATAATATTTGATACAAATATAAATCTATCACAATATACTTCTATTAGGGGTCATCCATAAATGACGTCATGCTTTTGTTGACGATTTTTACCTCCCGCCTCCCCTCCGTCACATGTTGTCACAAAAAGCCAGACCCCTCCCCCCAAATGACGTCCTACAACCCCCCTCAAAATTGCAGTTGAATTTTTTGAAACATCGATATTTTTCTAAAATCTTGTCTGAACTCTGTCAAAATAGAGTATTTTAATCAATTCCTATTACAATTTATTAAAACAGTTTTCTAAAACGCGAAATAACGTCTAAAATTCGTTTTCCAACATTGCTTTTTAAAGCTTTTTTATAGGCCTAATGCAAAAGTGTGACGTTGCACCATCTGAGCCCCGCCCCCCCCCCCTCATCACACACCGTCAAAAAATTACGGACCCCCCCTAACCCTACGAGTGTGACGTCATTTATGGACGACCCCTTTAAACTTTAAAGCCTTGAAAATGAGGTAACTTTTTCGTAGATTACTAACCGCGGGTGATTTTACGTACCTAAAGAAAACGATAAATTACAATTATTTTATAATATATAAATTATAAAGTACTAGATCTAGATCTAGATCTATAATAATATTATTAATAAAGTACCAAGATTTAGATTTGATTGCATCAGTCACAGTCAAAATAATCAACTTACATTTTATTTCTATTCGGTTTATTTAGATCTACACCACATAAATTAGCTTTAACAAACATTTCCTTGAATTTCGGAATAATACTTAGGCATAACACGAACGCAAATAATGACATTACAGCATTGACAGCAATAGTCAATGCACTGTCTCCGAGCTCCATTTTGCAATCTCAGGCCTGAACTTCGATTAAAAACGAAAGTAGGAAACAATCACACGTCAAATAACTATTAGGTTTTCCTAAGTACCGGAACGATATTTGCAATATGCCTAAATAATAATAAATAAATATTAGGCCTATGCCTAGATTTTTAACTTTCTGGTCCTACTGAAACACTACTGTTTATAAGAACTTTGACTGCTTTATAATTTGAGTTAGATCCACTACTGGAAAATAATTGTGTTGATTAGCAATTGATAATAATGTCAAATAATTAGCTACCACCTTGTTTTTTTTTCATTCTACACTGAAAAGGCGGCTCATTACATAGACCGTAGCTTGGTGCAGCACTTTTTTTTATCTAAGATTACATGCGGCTAGATTATATATTTCAATTTTGGCGTCACTCTCTCCGATAGAACTAAGCATAAAATGCGAAGCTTTTTAATTCGTTGTCAAACTCAATCATCATGCAAATCTGCACCAAATGTTTTATTACATTATATTCTACATTGTTAGCCCATCTAGGTAATACATTGCATTTTTAAAAATCAGCTGTCGCCCCGACTCGCCCCCTCCCCTATTATTCTCATGCTAGCCTACCCATTTTTATGTTTTAAAACGTTAGCTACGTTAATGGACTGAGTAAATTTTAGCAACTTGACCCCCCACCCCCCATCGTATCATTCGGCCAGTAATGTTGACAGTGGGTGTCAATTAGGGTTAATATATATAGTATCCTATATTGGCCTATATTGTATGTACGTAACATGAAACTATTTTAAATAGCTTTTAGGTAAGAACTCATTATACAATTATGTCTTAAAATGTATACATTTTTTAATTTAAACTTTGTTTATACATTTTAAAATATAGATAAACTATTATTATCATGATTTAATGTTTTTAAAATTGCTCAACATTTGCTGCTATTTAATATATAACGAATTAAATTACATCGATTAAAGGGAAACAGCCCCTAAGATGGATACCGAGGTTATCCTTTTAAAAAAATAATGCTTAAAAACCCTCAAGGATAACGTGTAATTGAAACAACATGTAATGTTAATATTAAGAATATTTTTTATGATTATCAGTATTTAAACAATTCTAACTCATACGTGGTTAAAATGGTTGTGTGGCATGGTATAATAAGTTCTAGGGTCTTACACTGGGATTATTCAAGAATGCAACATAATGTTAGAATAATCTATGTATTGAAAAACAGCGAAATACTAACAAAGAAATACTTTTAACGATGTGTTATTAAGTTTAGTAGGAAAGTTGTATTAGAGTTTCTTCCATGCATCTCTCTGGGACCCCCCCCCCCCCCAGCTCAAGAAACACGTTTGCCCCCCCCCCCCCCCCCGCCCCTCGAACGAAATAAAATAAATATACAAAATTTAAGTCCGCCCCGATTCACCCCTACCCCTCCCGAAAGTTTCAAGTGCCTCCCTCTGAGAAAAATGTCTGAAAGAAACATGTATTTGGTATGTTAAGTTGTAATCGGGAGTTCGTGTGTGAAGAAGGGGTGGAATATGGTTGGGGAGGATATGTGGCAGCTTATATAATAATTGTTTATTATATAATTTTAGATCTCTTTGGGGGGGGGGGGGGCGAACGAGATGGAATTTATATAGAAAACATACTTTTACCAGTGTCGCCCCCCCCCCCCCCCCCCCCCCCCAACAGAATTTTAAAAAACCCAACTTTTTGTCTGTGATCCGACAGGCTTTGCAGCTAGTAAAATATATATTTGTTAATTTTATTTTATTTTCTAAAAATTACAATACTATTAATACACTGTAGAATTTCGAAGTGTAGGTCGAAAGGGTTAGTTAATTTTCAAAAAAAAAAAAATTTAGTTTTGCATTATTAGAAAAGAAACTACATTTTGGCCTTAGGAATCAAGACTTATCTGGCCAAATCTCTTGTGTTGACAAACAACTATGGAGAACGACGAAGAAGTAACCGTTAAAATTTGGAAGCGAGACATAACACACGCTCTTTGGGTTACAAAAAACGAAAGGCAGCAATCGCTAACAGAATTACGGAATATTATAAAGAAACAAGGTCTTCAAGTTCCAGAAAATTTTTGTTTTCTTACCGCCGCAGAAAACGTTGTTTCAATCGCCCAAGAGTCGACTTTAACGCTGGAAAAGATATCGCTGGGAATAGAAAATCCACACACTTTGGATACAGAAACCAAACGCGGTTATGATTTTACAATACACAGTTTGTGGTTAGTTGATGCGAGTGAAGACAATCGATCTGGCTGCTCGACCACAAGTATTACCAGTGAACAAACAAAAATGCTTCAGTCCGAAAAACAAGAGAAATCTCAGACTCAAAATAATGAACATAATGATCCAAAATCAAAATTTCGTTTAAGTTTTTCTTCAGCAGAACTTTATGACATGATCAAACCCATGGCAGTATTAAAAATTTTTATTATATCGACATTCACCCTCTTGATTTTAATGGTCATTTTAGCATATTCATTGCACATAGTAAGTTCCTGTTAATTATAATAATTAGTCACTACGAGCCGACCCGCAGCGTATCATACGCCGCTATTTAGTTGTTTTATTTTCTACTTTTCAGTAATTCATAATTTGTAAATTCGACAGTACCAATGCTGCCACTGAAAATATTTGCTATAAAACACTAAACCCCCCCCCCCCCCCTCCCCTTTCCCCTAACCCCGATACTACACCCCCCCCCCGTGAAAGCAGCCTCCTCTTAGTTATTTCTTAGTTACCTCCTGTAAGTTTAAAATCGAACTAAATTATCTGCCCATAATAGAAACCCGGCTGTACAGCTCTACGATTTGTAAACATTTAGCTTTGTAAAAATTTAGAGTGAACACCGCTCACCAGACAATGTTGGGGTGGGGTGGGGGTGGTAGTGATAGTTATAGAGAGAAAGAGAGGGGACTGCAAGGTGGCGCTTGCAGCTAGTTTTCTAACTGATCCCAGAAGAGAATTATATATATAGATTAGACCTAGTACTAAAAGTACTCAGTAGTGATTGTATCTTTCTGTTGTAATTAACCCTATTAGTGTGTTTTTTTATTAAAAAAAACTTACTAGTAGATCTATATAAATAGAAAACTTCAATTTATTTTTATTAACCATTATTATAATTACTTTTTTGCGATTGGTAAAATTTTGTTAAAAATTAAAGGCAATATTTAATTTGTTTATCATTAATATTATTATGTAAAGCAATTCTAGGTAGAATGTACATAAATTTTGTATTGCTAATTGATTTTGCTCATATTTAATTTGTTTATTAAATTACCACACAGGACATGCATTAGTTCCAATTAGTAATTAGTGTCTAAATTTTGGAAAATTTGTGATCAAAATGTTTACTTTCAGATGATAATTTTAACAGGAGGCATGTGGAATTTATTCTCTTCTTCACCACTGACATCACAAGAAGGGGAATCAGAAATGCTAATGAATCTGAAGATGAAGCTCTCAAGTCTTGAGATGAGTAGCCAGTTGGAGCTACAGGATGTTAAGAGAAAGCTGTCAGAGCTAGAAGATTTGTACATTGTTGACATAGGTGATTTTTTTTTTTAATATTCCATAACCAATTAAGAAAATCAGAATTTTTTAAACATCAATTGTAATTTGTTTTTATTTTATTGTCTTGTACAATTGTTTTCAAAGTTTCACTACATTATTTAGTCATTTAAAATTACAGAAAACCAAAATTCTCAATGGAAGTGTATCTCATTGAGTTTTGTAATGAATGGTGAGTCTAAAAAAATATTTTTGCTTTACTTTTACAGAGGTACTCAGAAAGGAGCTAGCATCCCTCAGAAGAGGTCAAACAGAACATGAAAAAAAAACTGATGACGTTATGGGCACAATCTCAATGAGAGTTAATAGCCTGACTTCGACACTGGTCAAAATGGACATAGCCAACCAAAATAAGGGGGATATGGATAAACCAATCAAGGACAAGCTTCCTGTTGCAGAAAAGAAGGCTGACAATGGTGGGAAAAAAGAAAACAAGAAGAAAAAGAAAGTGATTTGAGCATAAGTGTTCTTAATGATTAAGCAAGATGTCTAGGTTAACTTAAACTTAATTGGTGTTTAGACCATCATCTTTAGTTTGTGGTGTTAAAGCACTTAAAAAAGAATGTCACTACACACGTCCGAAATACAATTAAGTGTTTTTACTGTTGGTGTATTTATGTTCGAGTTGAAAATATTAATTTTAAGAATAGCTCTTAAATATTTCTAACGTTAAAACCTGTTTACTATTTTAAGAACTTATAACAAAAATGTCAAGTTATGTATTTATATTCTATAAAAGTTTATTTGATGATGGTGATTATTTATAGATGTTTAAAATACCAATCAACACACTTTTGATTGATCTAAAATTCAAGTATTACAGTCAAAAAATAGTATCTTTAAAGCTTGTGGTTGGTTATTTTCAAAACATTCACATTGATCTGGTTGCATTGTTTTGTATTTATTGTTTAATGCATTTAAACTGAAATAAACCATGTTCTCAAAAGATTTATGCTAAATTTGTTTTATAGTTTTGAGTTATCTTTTAACTAAAATCAGAAGTGTTATTTAATAATATCCTCTCCTAGTTATATTTGTCTTATTTTGTAATTCTGTATGCTGTTCTTTTTAACCCTTTAAAGTCTGTTGCATTTATTTTACTACAGCAGGTTTTATAGTGCAATCTAAATGAAATCATGAAATGTCATGGCGGAATGTAAAGTGTGGCTCCAGTGGAAATAGAAAAGTGTTTAAGTAGCCACTCTTTTTTCTTTACCATAAACCAATCTTTTATCGGCCAAGGTTACAGTATACATTAAGTAGTTAAGGCATTTTAGGATTTTAATAACTATTAGTGAATTTTATTCTCTAAACTTTCATACTGAAGAAAAAATACACAAGAGGGTATAATGGCCTTTATTTAGGTACTGAAGACATCAACTGAAATAAATAGTTGCAAACTACCAATTTCTTCCCTAAAAAATTTCATGGTAACAATTATTTACATGCAACAAGTTGAACTTGCTACACAGTCTAGCAAATATTTTTTTTGTTTAGTATGGTATAAAGAGAAAAGAATTTTTTTTTAACCTGTGTGTAAAAATGACATTAAAAATAAAAGTTAAGCTATGAATTCATGCTCTGGATAAAAAAAAAACGTATGTACAAAAGCAAATAAAACAGTGAAATTTTTTGAATGATAAATGGTACTAATGATAGACAGTGGACTTGTACACATAAATCCACTGTACTTAAGGTTTGAGAAATTAACATACATGCAGAATTATTGGAGACAAAGGTTTACAGACTACATACACATTTTAATATTTTTACACACATTACATATAATACAATATATGCATGAATGTAATCTTATAGATTTAAAAAAAAGGTTAATATGAAATCGGTACTAAAACAAACAAGCATGTATGAACTTGTGCTCTGTTCAACCTGTGTATTCTTTGTACAGGTAATACAATATTACAATTAAAAGTTGTTTCATGGATTATGTGAATGATCTATAGTTGTTAATTAATACCATTTCAAAGATACATTTTATTTGGAGAAGCAAAAAAAAATATTTACACAATTTGATGTATAAAAAACTTGTTCACAAACATTGAAACAAGGCATGGAGGAATAGGGTGTACACACGTGGTATTCTCATACACGTGGTATATGCACGTGGTTTCATGAGAGACAGAATGAATGAGATTCTGGAACAATGGCTGATAAAACTACAGACTTTGTGGCCATTTACAATATAGTCCAGTATTAAAAAAAAACTAACTGCATCTATCACAATACAAATAAAATTATATAATGAACGAAATGGCGAGACTAAAATGATCTGACAACCATATGGCAATGTCCCCATTTTTAAAATTAAATTATTCCCTTACATACTTTATAAACTGAGAGATCATATTGGATTAACACAATTGTCTAACAAATAACTTCAGTGACAGATGGGGTTAGTGGTACACTGTCTTTATGAATTTGGTCTCTAGCATTGATTAATTCTCAACATTTTTTATTTAAACACATAAAGTAACAACACAAATCAATAGAACATGTATTAAACAACAACAGGATACAACTATTTTGCATGAAGATTTTCTTTCAACCATCTATAATATATGTATATTTGCAGCACTTGTATATGCAAGACGGGTATTACAAACACAAAAGGCTATTTTAATTTAAGAAATAAATTAACTTCAGCTAAGTATTCCTATGCTATCAATTTGTACATAAAATAGACAAATGAGCATAAAGGAAATTTTATATTTTAAACTTATTTTAAAATCTGGATGTTCAGAAAAAATGTCAACAAAGTCTAAGAAAAAAAAACCAACAGAACAGTATTCATGGATGGCACCTGGTAATGTAAAAGGGCACTATGACTTTAAAATGAATGCTTATATAACAGGGCACTATGACTTTAAAATGAATGCTAAGTTGATAAAGCAAAATAAAAAATTAACCCCAGTTTCCTAAACACCACTGCGTTATGTGTTGCCACTTCTAACAGCAGCTGTGATACCAGTTCTTAATGGACAGCGTGAATGTCATCTTTTCCTGTGTGCTGCTACAGAGATCTGGTACCCAGTAGAATATCTAGACAACTTGTAGGAATAGGAAGTACTGGACATAACAGATCTTGAATGCATTCTTACTTTGTCTATATATAGATATATACATTAAAAAATGTATTTATAGCATACTACTTCTACTATAAGAAAAAAAGAGAAAAAAACTTAAAATACATGTGACATGTTATTTACAAACACAGAGTTCAGTGAAAAGTCCCCTTGTGCAACAAGATCTGTGTACAAAACAAATTCCAGCAATAAAAAAAATTGTGTTCACTTAGTACAATGAGGTAAACTAACAAAAAATGTACAAGCAGATCAATATTCTCCCTAAAGTTTTCATGGCTTAGTGCATTAAATGAAGGGAATTCAAAGAAAAAAAAAATAACTATATACTTGGCTCAATTTTAAGTATTTGAAAATCAGTTTAAAGAAAATTATTAAACTTTTAAAAAACACAAATCAACCTTTTTGGTGAAGGCAAGTTTGCTATGATTGCCAGATTTATTTTAACATAAACTACTCATTTTAATATTTATTAAATAAAATTATTTTGGCATTGCAAGTTCAAATAACCATCTGAGACTTAAAACATAAATGTTATGTTAGTGTTGGCGAGGATGAGAGCCCAAAGTTCACCAATACTACAGTCAGGGCATAAGCAACTGTATCTGGCTTTACGGAGTGACAGTTTATCTGATGATACGCATCTAGACACACCTGACATTGATTTCAGTCAGTCACATCGTAAATATTTCAATAGTTGGCAGAAAATTATGTACAAAAGTAGGTAACATATGCAGAACACATTTGAATGTTAAAAAATCTACATCTACAAAACTAGCTTGATTGTGGTGTCATGCCTGAGTTGTCTATCAAGTGGACAGATGCAGGTGATCATGTGGGGAGGTCCTGCTACTTCTCCATTTGGTGGATGGGTACAGAATGGTGTCACTGTGACATCATCAAGTCATTTGTTTACATTTTCTTCCATATTGGTTAAAAATTGATATGACGGGCAACCGAGTCTTAGAATGTACAAAACGACACACCATAACTACACACCAGAACTGTTACTAAAAGATGTTTAGTTATGTCTTAGACAAATTATCATATCACAACACCCCTGTCCTCCACAGTTAATAGACAACACACCTCAATAATACAATAGTTGAACAATTTTAAACTTTCACAGAGCAACAGCACCCAGCCCACACCCCACTTGTTCTACTCAAATTATTTTCAATGTTTGTCATCCTAAATAAAAATGTAAGATTTATTTGACATTCTCCGATACAGTTGAAAGTTAGAAGTTCCAATAATCATGAATTAAAAAAAAATGACATTTGAATTCCTAATCATATTAATTAACTGAGTTTAACAATAGCAACATACAAAGACACATGGAGACACAAGGTATTAAATGCAGTATAAGAGATATGTCATGCATGCACCAAATGACATGTGCAAGAGAGATGACATGCATGCACAAAAAAATGACAAGACATCAAATCAAACATAAGCAAAATAATTTTTTTTACAAACATTGCAAAAAACTTTCCATAGCTAACATGAGATGATGCACAACAAACTAAGTTCCCTAACATGAGATGATGCACAACAAACTAAGTTCCCTAGTTGAAGCAAGAAAACTTTTGATGGATCAGATACCAACATAAGGAGTTCTATCTGTACATGGTGTAGGTCCAACAGTAAAATACACACTGGGCAGTCAGTGTTTCCTGATAGCTGCTGGCTCCTCTACAAAATAGTGATCATTTTCATTACCTTTATGACAAGGCTAAAGCTGAGGTCTTTACCCTAAAACAAGGCTTGATAATACTATACAAACAACCACTTAGAACTGGGCTTGTTCAACACAACATCCAGTGAAGATTTGTTCAGGTCAAGGGTCATCAATATTGTATGTTGTTGCTGTTGTTGCTGCTGTTGTGGGAGTTAACCGGCATGGGGCTAGCTGCGGGGTTGGGGTGGAGCTCCAGGTGGGTCAGGTTGTCCTGGAGCTGGGGCTGGTACAGTGTGGTGAACTGCAGGCCGCCGACGTGCGCGTGAGAATAAGCCGGGGGCTCGTTCATCCCAGCGCGGTTAGCTCCCATGTCTATGTGGTGGTTGTGGGTGTAGCCGCCGCTGTCCGTCCGAATGACCGCTGGGCTCATGGTGTTGCGGGCGGCAGACAGGTCCATGCTGACTCGCTGCTGCAGCAAGGTGGCCTGCTGCTGGCTGAAGCTGCTTTGGTTGTGGTGGAAGTTGTCGGGGGCGCCTGGCTGGCTCATCATGCTTCGACTGCCAGGGCGCTCTAAGCTGGTCAGCAACGGGTGTGGACTTTGGATCCTCTGCTGGTGCAGCACAAAACCTTCTCCAGCGTTTCCTCTTTGGCTGATAAAATTTCCAACCTCACGTCTTAGTTCCAGCTCTGTGAAGTTGGCTAGAGCTGCAGGCATGTCCATGTTCCTAATGATTTGATTGGCTAGAGAGATGGGAGGGTTGTACCTGTCACTGTTGCCACTTTGCAAGTTTGTAGTTGGATTATAGTCATTGGGGGGTTGATTCTGTACCGGCGTTGGTCTACGCATGCTGTCAGAATCATGCCTCAAGCTTCGATTGGCCTGGTTTATAAGTTCATGCTCATGGGAGTTGGGCATGAGGTTAGGTTGTCCCATGCGTGATGCGTTCTGTCCATGGTGTGAAACAATCTGGGTCATAGAGCTGGGCTGGCCATTGTTCTGTGTCTGCTGGCTAAACGCCTCACTGCCCGCCTGGTTCTGGCTGTAGTTTCTGTGCTCTTGGAGTGGGCTGCTGTTCTCTACCTGGCTAATGGAGCCATCGTGTGCATCAGAGTCGTGATCGTACCTCTCACTCTCGTCCGAGTGCTCAGAGGATAATGAATCTCGGCCATGAGAAGGGGATGTCCTCACAGTCTCTGTGCCGACAGACGCAAAAGCTGAGCCTTGCTTGTGCTGCTCTGTGTGATCTACAACACCTATAGGAGCAAAACCTTTATACATCTGCTGCTCACCGGCCTCTGTGGAAATGCCAGCATTTTTAGCATGGAGCTTGAGGTGGCGCTGGAGACTGTACAAACGTGGAAAGCCCCTGCCACATATCTGGCATTTAAAGGGGCGTTCTGCGCCGTGTACGGTGCGGACATGCAAAGAGAGATTTGTGTAGCGGCGGAAAGCTTTCCCGCAGACATGACAGGAATGAGGCCGTTCTCCTGTGTGAATTAACATGTGACGTGTCAGGTGGTGCTGTCTGGTGAAGCCCATCTTACAGACCCCACACGCGTAGGGCCTGCGGGTCCAATCAAGTAAATGAGCCTTGGGGATTGGCCCACGTGTGTGAAGTTTAACATGGCGCTGCATATGATATTTCCTTGTAAAGCCTTTCCCACAAAGCTCACACCTAAAGAGCCCGTCCTCCCCGACCCCCCGAGCATCACCACCCTCCATAAATTTTGGGTTTGGAATTTTAATGTCAAAATACTTCTTCATTTCAATATCGGAGATGGGATGCACCCCAGTGGTTCCAGTTGATGTGTCAGGCAGGTAGGAAGGGGCCGGGCCTTGTGGATTCATGTGACTGTGATTGTTAAGTGCATCGTATGGTAGGGAAGGGTTGGGCAAGCCAGAGCTATGCCCACTGCCCCCTGGCATCTGATTATTGAGTGTTCCACACGTCGGCATCTCCTCTATCTCTGGTTTGATAACAATATTTGGATCCATCAAACCCAAAGGGTGGTCGCCATTCCTCTTACCCTCCCCTGCCTTACCCATTGCATGGTACATAAATCCACTTATCATGTCTTTGTTTGGGTTTTTCTTTGGGGGTGTGAAGTCCTCAGGGATCAGCTCTGAGACGTCAATGACGTTGTTCTTGTCCTCCTGTATGCTTGCCACAAAGCTGTCGTTCATCTTGGAGAGGGAGTGTGACTTCATGTGGTAGTTGAGGTGGCAGCACTGAGAGAAGGCCAGCATGCACAGGTTGCAGACAAAAGGCAGCGTGTTGCCGTACTCACGTCTGTGCTGCTCAAACGACACCTCACTGTTGAATGTACCCCCACAAACGTCGCAATGGTGGGCATCGATCCTACGATGACCGGCGGCCATGTGTTTAGCCAGTCCGTCAGAACGGGAAAAGGACATGTTGCATTTTGAACAAGAGAATGGCTTGACGTGCGTGTGGGTCAGCATGTGGCGATTCAATGTGTACTTCTCTGCAAACCCCCGCCCACACACATCACATACATTTGTTTTTTCCTTCTTCTTGTGGTGGCTCTTTTTCTTGACCTTGGTTGGACTATCAAGGCTGCCCTGACCGTGGCTCATCTGTAAAGGTACATTGGGCTGTTGCATGATTGGTCTCTTCTTCAGAGCAGCTGATTTCTGGAGGTCCACAGCCATGATGGGGGTGGGGCTGGCATATGTTTTGCTACTGCTACTGACTGCGATAGATTCAATGCTGTTGTTACTGGGATTGGTGGAAGCATGATTGTAAACATTAGCAGCTGATGGAATTGAATTGGGGTAGCTGTTTGACAAGTTGGTGTTTGGGAAGACAGGGGCATTGGCGTTGTTAGCTCCAGGACCTTTCTCTTCCCCAAGGATCAGTTTGGTGTAGATGTAGTCGTGGAAAGTCTCCCTGGCCTCATGGTTGTAGTTCCCGGCCGCGAGCTCCTGGGCCAGTGATGGGGTGATCCCAGCTCCCCCGAGAAAGGCCTGCCCAAGATTGGCTGCCATTCTTGTTGACTTACTGCAGCTCCAATATCATAACACAAGATGAGGAGCAGTCTCAAGAAAACTAGAAAATAAGAAAAATACATTCATTTATTGGAACATTTTTAATGGGATATTTACTGATTTAAAAGCTTAACGTTTATTATATGCTGATATAGTCAAGGTACAATTTTAAATACCATTTCATAATAAATGTAGATATTCATAGAAATGTTATAATTATTTTCAAAGATATTTAGTAGCACTGTTGAATAAAGACCTAGACAGTCAAAATATTTAAATTTAACATTTTAAACTTTATAGACCTAAAAATGTATCAAATTATGGTATTTCTGATGACCTGGATAAAAGCATGTAACAAATCTATAGACCTACTGACTATACTATAGTGTTGATCTTACTAATTACTATTAACCATACACAAGTTAACCTTTAAAAAAAATTTAAGTGAACACATTATATATTAAAACAAAATCTAAAATACTGTAAGATCTTATTGTGGTGATAGGTATGAGAATTGTATATGTGGAATGAAGTTCTGAGTGTGTACACCTTACTATTGCGAGGCAGTGTGGTGTCAGGGTTTGATGGTGTTGTACAGAGTGAGCTGGGGTAACACGAGAAGCAACTGGTGATACAGGGGGAGTTAGAGGAGAAGTATGGTGCTGAATTGTGACCAAGAACTGAGAAATAGTTGATATTAAACCCACTTCATGAATCCTAACCTCGAGACTTGAGTTAGTTTGTGTTTACTTGTGTTGGTACAAAAAAAGCCCTCACACTTATAAAAATTATATAGGCCTAATGGAATAGCAATTTTTCTGAATGTGGTAGGATCAAGGAATGGATGAACAAACCATTTTACTTTATCACAGAGATGACTCTATAAAACCACAAAAAGAGGTTGCAATTATCTAGTGGGATGGAGTGAATTAAGAGTAGAGTTAATGACTGCTAACCCATAAGTTTTGGGTTCAGATTCCAGGCCCGAGTTGATAGGATGTCCCTGAGCCCACCAGATCTAATGATTACCAGACTCTAATTAGGAAAAAAAGGCGACTGGGCAAAGTGCTGACCACACTATCCTCTTGTATACAAAGGTCATTAAAACAGATAAACTCTACTTCGCATGCCCCATGTGTCTTGGGAAAAGATGATTATCTTATCTACATTGCTACTTCTAAGAGGAAAGGTTATCTTACTAAATTTTAAAAATTAACTGCACAGCTATTCTATTGCTTAATATATTCCATTTAAGTTCATAAACACCAGATTAAGAGAATAATTATGTTCACATACAACAGGCTGACCAATTAAATGTGAAAGCTTACAAGCTTTTTTGTGTTCATTTCATCTCCATGTTTTTTTAAAGACCTAAAGGGGCCTAGGCCTATTTATTTATTATTATTGTTTTTTAGGCCTTGGTTTCTACATCAGTTATTAATAATAATCAGTTTTAAAATATTTAAATACTACGTCATTGTGAAATATAATTTTAATAATTAAAATGAACCAAATGTTTTTTTTTATTCAAATAAGTTAACGATATAAAACAATAAATTTTTATAAATGAAGATTCTAACTAAGAAAGGTAAAAATAAATTTCTGAACTGGTATGCCCCATCTCTTCACCTGTTAAAGTTATTTTTAAAAACTTTTTAAAGACTTCTTTGTTATAGTACCTATAAGCGACGATGCAATAATGCAACTAAGTTTATACATGAACATGATGAAGTACTAATATTAAATTGGTGTACTGCCTTCATTAACAGATTTCCAAGAAAAACCAGTATGTTTGTAGGCATTAATTCTTAAATAGCTAGGCGTACATTTTTTCCAACATAGAACAGAAAATCCTCCATTTCTTTACCCCTATGCCCTATGGACTCACACTATTTAATAATGGAGATTAGCAAGTAGCAGTGTTTTCATTAATCCGGGTGAAGACTTCCCTCCTAACAACCTTATGGATTAAACAAAAATGTGCAGCCATCCTTGTATGGGTTAGAGGTCACTTCAGCTTCACCCCAGAAGCCAGATAATTAGATCGAGCTGCAATCAGTTTGTTAGAAGTTTCGCAATACTAGTTTTAAAAAAATAACTGTAGGCCTACCAACTAATATCAATAAATATCGGAAATCACTTTAGTATTTAGAATCTTTTTGCTAACATATTTGAGAAAAACATTTTTATTAGGCCTACATTCTAGGCCTACCCTAAGAATTTTATTTAAGCTAAAGCTAAACAATTAACAATGAACAGTGGAGTAGGCCTAAAATAAAACCAAAACTCCTTCTAAGTTTCTGGGTGTACAGCCATCAAGATAAAAAAGGATGTAATAACAAGCTCAAGAATTAAGCATATTACTATAACTTCATATGTGTATCACTGTGTTTAAAATACATTAAAGTATGGTAACAGTGATATGATTCATCAAGAAATATCGAAAATAGGTCATATTTGAATGAAAGAACTGAGGAAGTAACTCATAAAAAATGTGCAGAATATTTCACATTCAAATTAAAAAGCCCTTATTTTTTAAATGACTAAAACTCTTTGTATTTGTTTACCTAATGTTTTCTCCGAGAAAATGTTTAATAAAACAACAAAAGGAGAAAAAGAACGCCTAAAATTTAACACAGCGGGTGGGAAATAAATGCAAGCAACCCGGAAGCTCAGATTTGTGGAATTACAAGCAACGTAGCCAAATTGACTCGCCTTTTTAATTTTAATAGTTAGAAATTATTGTAAAGTAAATATTGCAAATAAAGCACACAGGTCAAGCCTACAGTTCTAGTTTTTAATCATTCTTTTTACAAATGTAAGAAAAAATTAGGCAGTTATTTTAAGTCATTAAGTTCAAAACTATATGGCTATTATTTATAATATATTTATTTAAAGTTTAAAAATCAATGTGATTTAATTATTATTTAAGGCGGGACATTTTAGATTTTAGAAATAATTGGTTTTCACATGGATCAACAGAGATCCATGTGTGTAAGTCATTTTAAACTAGATCTACTTCCATCTAGCCTCCAGTAAACAGCCGCCACTCCCCCCCCCCTCCACTCACATTTATTCAGTGGTGGTCTGGCCCGCCGATCTACCGCGCGAAAAATCCCTCTAGGCCCCGAGGAAAAAATGTCGGCGCCCCCCCCCCCCCCCAGAAACGATGCTGTAATAGTCCTATTTTTGGTTCCATTATTTAAAAAAAGATTGTTAGTATTTCTCCATTTTATCATTTACATTCCTTCATATTAAGCCGTGAAATTCAATTAGCTGGAGAAAAAAAATACGCAATGAAAATTTCAATCTGGGATTTAAAAAATTGGGGCCCCTTCGAAAATGTCCCGGCCCTCTTGGACACAGCCAGTCCACCCCTGCTCACATCCTCACAAAATGGCGCCTCAACCGTAAAATAATTATGTCGTAGGCTGCGTTAGTCTACACCCCCCCCCCCCCATTGGCGTAGCGAGGGGGGTGCGGACCGGGTGACACCATTTAGGGGGGTGACACCAAGGCAAAAAATAGCAAAATATATAGAGAACAATTATAATTTCACTCAATTAAGTGATTAATTCGAGTGTTAAAAAGTCTTTTAAGAGTAAATTTGACAAGAGTGGAGGGTGCAAATCGAAAGTTTGAGGGGTGGGGGTGTAAATCGAAAATTGAAAGTTTGTCCCCGGGCGCCGTGAAGGGTCGATACGCCCCTAGGGGGTGACACCATTAAGTGCCGCACCGGGTGACACTCGACCTCGCTACGCCACTGCCAACCCCCCATCCCCATACACACCTATTGATTTGTAACTGCTTTTGTCCTTTTCAAACGCTCGTCTTCCTACTTAAAAGTTTTCAAAATGTGAAATAACAAGAGGAATTAATTCCTTTAAAAAAATTTCCTTTTTAAAATGTAAAAGAGCACCGTAACACTTTCTGAACGCCTCCTCCTCCCCAATCATACATGGCCGATATGACGTCATTTTATGAATGACCCCCCCCCCCACCCCCATTCCCGCCTACACATTTAACTAGTGCGGGTACCTCTACGAGTCAGTTAAGTCCCACTTGTACGCCTCAACAACTTGAACTATCAACATCAGCTGTACGCGCCAACGCACTGTTTAGCACCAGAATAGAATCCGTTGAGCTCTTCAAAAGAAAAGCTAAACAAATCACACTCAATGACATACTGACGACTTCTGTTTTACCCGTGCTTGTTACTGTTAGATAACTAGCAGCTTCAAGCAGAAACAAAGATGCTGAGCTTAATACGAATTCTCTACGCAATTATATGTATTTTTTCCTGCGTACGTTTGTCTGATCCTAGGATAATATGCTCTGCAATATACATAATTACATTTAATCTTTGTTTTTCGTTTCAACAAGTTGAACTAGATTCTCTAGATTCTATTTCTACCCACTAAAGCTAGCTATAGATCGGCTACCCAAACGACCGATGGCCCGAGTAAAAATAGTATAGGTTTTTATATACAAACCTAGAGATTTTTTTTATTCAATGTGGGGGGGGGGGGGGGGGGGGGGGGAGGACTATAACCAGTGGCGTAGCGAGGTCGGGTGTCACCCGGTGCGGCACTTAATGGTGTCACCCCCCCAGAGGCATAGAGACCCTTCCCAGGGACAAACTTTCAAATTTTCATTTTGCACCCCCCCCCCCCCTCAAACTTTCGATTTGCACCCCCTCCTCAAGTTTTCGATTTGCATCCCCCCTCAAACTTTCGATTTGCACACCCCCCTCAAGTTTTCGATTTGCACCCCCCCCCCCTCAAACTTTCGATTTGTACCCCCCCCCCCCCTCGAGTTTTTCTCTATATATTTTGCTATTTTTTGCCTTGGTGTCACCCCCCTAAATGGTGTCACCCGGTGCGGTCCGCACCCCCCGCCCCCCTCTCTACGCCCCTGACTATAACACCCCCTTGCTCTACCGCCGCTGGTGACCGATTGCTACAAATCTAAACAAAAAAATCCATTTTTGAATAAATGAATAAAAACTACATTTATGTAGGGGCTAGATCGAACATCAGTAGCAAGTCAATGAGTCCACCCAGCTTTAATGGGTACCTTGCTCAGGTTAGTGAAAGTATAGGCTGCTGACCACACTATCCCTTCATATGCCGAGGTCTCTGAAACAGGTGAACTCTACTTCATCTGCCCCATGTGTCTTGATCAAGAACGGGATAGATGATGATGGTGTTATAAATCAGTGTTTACATCAGTGTTATAAATCAGTGTTATAAATCAGTGTTATAAATCAGTGTTATAAATTATTGTTATAAATCAGTGCCATAAATCAGGGGAGCAATGTGTTTTACTTGAGCTTCTCATTTAAACTTTATTATTGTAGAAATGATCGATGTGTTATGATTGTGTTTTAGATGATTGTTCTGACGTTTTTGATTGTGTTTTAGATGATTGTTCTGACGTTTTTGATTGTGTTTTAGATGATTGTTCTGACGTTTTTGATTGTGTTTTAGATGATTGTTCTGACGTTTTTGATTGTGTTTTAGATGATTGTTCTGACGTTTTTGATTGTGTTTTAGATGATTGTTCTGACGTTTTTGATTGTGTTTTAAATGATTGTTCTGACGTTTTTGATTGTGTTTTAGATGATTGGTCTGACGTTTTTTATTGTGTTTTAGATGATTGTTCTGGCGTTTTTGATTGTGTTTTAGATGATTGGTCTGACGTTTTTGATTGTGTTTTAGATGATTGTTCTGGCGTTTTTGATTGTGTTTTAGATGATTGTTCTGACGTTTTTGATTGTGTTTTAGATGATTGCTCTGGCGTTTTTGATTGTGTTTTAGATGAATGTTCTGGCGTTTTTGATTGTGTTTTAGATGATTGTTCTGGCGTTTTTGATTGTGTTTTAGATGATTGTTCTGACGTTTTTGATTGTGTTTTAGATGATTGTTCTGACGTTTTTTATTGTGTTTTAGATGATTGTTCTGACGTTTTTTATTGTGTTTTAGATGATTGTTCTGACGTTTTTGATTGTGTTTTAGATGATTGGTCTGACGTTTTTGATTGTGTTTTAGATGATTGTTCTGGCGTTTTTGATTGTGTTTTAGATGATTGTTCTGGCGTTTTTGATTGTGTTTTAGATGATTGTTCTGGCGTTTTTGATTGTGTTTTAGATGATTGTTCTGACGTTTTTGATTGTGTTTTAGATGATTGGTCTGACGTTTTTGATTGTGTTTTAGATGATTGTTCTGACGTATTTGATTGTGTTTTAGATGATTGTTCTGACGTTTTTGATTGTGTTTTAGATGATTGTTCTGACGTTTTTGATTGTGTTTTAGATGATTGGTCTGACGTTTTTGATTGTGTTTTAGATGATTGTTCTGGCGTTTTTGATTGTGTTTTAGATGATTGTTCTGGCGTTTTTGATTGTGTTTTAGATGATTGTTCTGACGTTTTTGATTGTGTTTTAGATGATTGGTCTGACGTTTTTGATTGTGTTTTAGATGATTGTTCTGGCGTTTTTTATTGTGTTTTAGATGATTGTTCTGACGTTTTTGATTGTGTTTTAGATGATTGGTCTGACGTTTTTGATTGTGTTTTAGATGATTGTTCTGGCGTTTTTGATTGTGTTTTAGATGATTGTTCTGGCGTTTTTGATTGTGTTTTAGATGATTGTTCTGACGTTTTTGATTGTGTTTTAGATGATTGTTCTGACGTTTTTGATTGTGTTTTAGATGATTGTTCTGACGTTTTTTATTGTGTTTTAGATGATTGTTCTGACGTTTTTTATTGTGTTTTAGATGATTGTTCTGACGTTTTTGATTGTGTTTTAGATGATTGGTCTGACGTTTTTGATTGTGTTTTAGATGATTGTTCTGGCGTTTTTGATTGTGTTTTAGATGATTGTTCTGACGTTTTTGATTGTGTTTTAGATGATTGGTCTGACGTTTTTGCTTGTGTTTTAGATGATTGGTCTGACGTTTTTGATTGTGTTTTAGATGATTGTTCTGACGTTTTTGATTGTGTTTTAGATGATTGGTCTGACGTTTTTGATTGTGTTTTAGATGATTGTTCTGGCGTTTTTGATTGTGTTTTAGATGATTGTTCTGACGTTTTTGATTGTGTTTTAGATGATTGGTCTGACGTTTTTGATTGTGTTTTAGATGATTGGTCTGACGTTTTTGATTGTGTTTTAGATGATTGTTCTGACGTTTTTGATTGTGTTTTAGATGATTGGTCTGACGTTTTTGATTGTGTTTTAGATGATTGGTCTGACGTTTTTGATTGTGTTTTAGATGATTGTTCTGACGTTTTTGATTGTGTTTTAGATGATTGTTCTGACGTTTTTGATTGTGTTTTAGATGATTGTTCTGACGTTTTTGATTGTGTTTTAGATGATTGTTCTGACGTTTTTGATTGTGTTTTAGATGATTGTTCTGACGTTTTTGATTGTGTTTTAGATGATTGTTCTGACGTTTTTTATTGTGTTTTAGATGATTGTTCTGACGTTTTTGATTGTGTTTTAGATGATTGTTCTGACGTTTTTGATTGTGTTTTAGATGATTGGTCTGACGTTTTTGATTGTGTTTTAGATGATTGGTCTGACGTTTTTGATTGTGTTTTAGATGATTGGTCTGACGTTTTTGATTGTGTTTTAGATGATTGGCCTGACGTTTTTGATTGTGTTTGACATGAGTTTCTCCGTGCTGGGTGTTGTATTGAGGAACAACTTCAACTTTAAGTACAGGAACCCTTCAGTGTTGGTCCCAATCTGGTTCAACATAGCCGGTAGGTCACACTGTGGGTAGGTCACACTGTGGGTAGGTCACACTGTGGGTAGGTCACACTGTGGGTAGGTCACACTGTGGGTAGGTCACACTGTGGGTAGGTCAAGGCAGGTCACACGGTGGTAAGGTCACACTGTGGTAAGGTCACACTGTGGGTAGGTCAAGTTAGGTCACACTGTGGGTAGGTCAAGGTAGGTCACACTGTGGGTAGGTCAAGGTAGGTCACATTGTGGGTAGGTCACATTGTGGATAGGTCAAGGTAGGTCACACTGTGGGTAGGTCAAGGTAGGTCACACTGTGGGTAGGTCACATTGTGGATAGGTCAAGGTAGGTCACACTGTGGGTAGGTCACACTGTGGGTAGGTCAAGGTAGGTCACACTGTGGGTAGGTCAAGGTAGGTCACATTGTGAGTAGGTCAAGTTAGGTCACACTGTGGGTAGGTCAAGGTAGGTCACATTGTGAGTAGGTCAAGTTAGGTCACACTGTGGGTAGGTCAAGGTAGGTCACACTGTGGGTAGGTCAAGGTAGGTCACACTGTGGGTAGGTCAAGGTAGGTCACATTGTGGATAGGTCAAGGTAGGTCACATTGTGGGTAGGTCAAGGTAGGTCACACTGTGGGTAGGTCAAGGTAGGTCACACTGTGGGTAGGTCAAGGTAGGTCACATTGTGGGTAGGTCAAGTTAGGTCACACTGTGGGTAGGTCAAGTTAGGTAACACTGTGGGTAGGACTTCACATTGTGGGTAGGTCACATTGTGGGGTAGGTAAAAAATGTGTGTTAAATGTTTTTTCCCTATTGACAGATGATCTCTAGGTAAACGTTACCCACCCCTACCCCAACACCCCACCCCACCCCAACACCCCATCCCACCCACAACATCCCCACCACAACACCCCGCCCCACCCACAACACCCCAACCACAACACCCCCACCACAACACCCCCACCACAACACCCCCACCACAACACCCCCACCACAACACCCCACTCCCCACCACCCCACCCCCACCACTACACCCCAAACACCCACACCCCAATACACCACCCCAACACCCCACCACCCAACACCCCACCCCCAACACCCCAACCCCACCACCCCCCACCCCAACACCCCACCCCCAACACCCCACCCTCACACACACCTCCCTATTAACAGACGACCTCTACTTCAACGAGTGGTCGAAGGAGATGAGTAGGTCTACGTTCGTTATGTTTATCATCCCAGTCGTCGAAGGCATCTTCGGCTTTCTTCTCATCTTCTTCCTCAAGTTCTGGATCTCGGCAGTCGTGAGTCTCATCGTCACGTCTGCTCTTTGTACATGCTCGCTAGTGTCATTTTAAAACATGATAATTCACATTCCCGTGCCAATGTCCGGGCGTGTGGCTAGTATTACAACTTGAGGGATAGCTGTAGTGTAAATTTGCCCTCTCTTCCAGATGAGTGTGATGGGGATACTGGGCATCATAGCACAGAGCTACTTCTTCGCTCAACTCAGGGACCCAAACGGAAGGGTACGTTTGTCTTAGTTGATCAGCAACAAGTACTAAATGTTGTAATGGGGTAGGAAGGGGGGATCTGATGGGGTGGGGGGGCTGAATGAAACTGTGAGCCAAGGGTGGGGGCATGACGTAAATTGAGACGTGCTCATCCACCACTCACTTTACACTAGATTATGTGTTTGTGTGAGTGTATATGTCTATGTATGGGCCATATATGTATGCTTGTGTATGAGTGTGTATGTCTAAGTATAACAGCAGTCTGTATGTGTATGTATAACAGTTGTCTGTGTGTATGTACATCAGCTGTATGTATGTCATGTACGTCTACGTATAATGTTTGTCTGTATGTGTTATGTAATAGATGTATGTATGTCTACTAATATCAGCTGTCTGTATATATAACAGCTGTGTATGCGTCTACCTATAAAATTAGTCTGTATGTGTATGTATTACATCTGTCTGTATGTGTATGTATAACATCTGTCTGTATGTGTATGTATAACATCTGTCTGTATGTGTATGTATATCATCTGTCTCAGTGGCGTAGCGAGGTCGGGTGTCACCCGGTGCGGCACTTAATGGTGTCACCCCCCAGAGGCGTAGCGACCTTTCAAACTTTCGATTTGCACCCCCCCCCCCCTCTTTAAACTTTCGATTTGCATCCCCCTCCCCTCAAACTTTCGATTTGCATCCCCCCTCAAGTTTTCTGTATATATTTTGCTATTTTTTGCCTTGGTGTCACCCCCCTAAATGGTGTCACCAGATGCGGTCCGCACCCCCTCCCCTTCGCTACGCCTCTGATCTGTCTGTATGTGTATGTACCAGGTCCACTCGGCTGCCACTGTCTGTATGTGTATGTATAACATCTGTCTGTATGTGTATGTATAACGTATGTATGTATGTGTATGTACCAGGTCCACTCTGCTGCCACTGTCTGTATGTGTATGTACCAGGTCCACTCTGCTGCCACTGTCTGTATGTGTATGTACCAGGTCCACTCTGCTGCCACTGTCTGTATGTGTATGTACCAGGTCCACTCTGCTGCCACTGTCTGTATGTGTATGTACCAGGTCCACTCTGCTGCCCGCGACGCCCTGAAGCTGGTCATCAGACGCAGCTACCAACTTTTGCCCGGGAACTCAGCCACGGCCGCCTTCAACGCTCTCATGATCATGGTGGGTTAAACCTAACTTCATCATTGTGGGTTAAACCTAACTTCATCATTGTGGGTTAAACCTAACTTCATCATGGTGGGTTAAACCTAACCCCATTATAGTGGGTTAAACGATTGTGCAAATCGACAAATGGGAAGGTCACTAGTGTAGGTCACACACGGGGAGGTCACTAGGTCACATACATGAAGGTCACTAGTGTAGGTCACACGAGAAGGTCACTAGTGTAGGTCACACGAGAAGGTCACTAGTGTAGGTCACACACGGGAAGGTCACACGAGAAGGTCACTAGTGTAGGTCACACGAGAAGGTCACTAGTGTAGGTCACACACGGGAAGGTCACTAGTGTAGGTCAGCCTGTGAATGTCCTTGAGCAGGGCAAATGTTGCGGCATTGAAGGCCCCAAGGACTTCGTCAAAGACCAGCTCCAGTTCAGCCTGATCCAAGGGCAGAACCCGCTGCTCCACTTCACACGACCCAGTTGGATCCCCTCCACCTACAAGGTCGTCGTCCCCAAGGTCACCTTCAGCAGCTCCTTCAAGGTGAGTGGTCTAGTCGACTGCATGTTCGTTTGCTGTGCTGGGTGTCTTGGGTTCGAGTCCTGTTTATCTGTGTTTTACATGTGTTACACAGCACGTGCTACACATCACACGCACCCAACACACGCACCAAACACACACCCAACACACGCACCCAACACACACACACCCATCACACGCACCCAACACACGCACCAAACACACACCCATCACACGCACCCAACACACGCACCAAACACACACCCAACACACGCACCCAACACACACACACCCATCACACGCACCCAACACACACACCCAACACACGCACCCAACACACGTATGTATGTTACAGGTTCCTGACCCATTGTTCCCTGTATGTTACAGGTTCCTGACACCTTGTTCCCTGTATGTTACAGGTTCCTGACACCTTGTTCCCTGTATGTTACAAGGTTGCTGACGCCTTGTTCCCTGTATGTTACAGGTTCCTGACACCTTGTTCCCTGTATGTTACAGGTTCCTGACACCTTGTTCCCTGTAAGTTACAGGTTCCTGACGCCTTGTTCCCTGTATGTTACAGGTTCCTGACGCCTTGTTCCCTGTATGTTACAGGTTTCTGACGCCTTGTTCCCTGTATGTTACAGGTTCCTGACACCTTGTTCCCTGTATGTTACAGGTTACTGACCCATTGTTCCCTGTATGTTACAGGTTCCTGACACCTTGTTCCCTGTATGTTACAGGTTCCTGACGCCTTGTTCCCTGTATGTTACAGGTTCCTGACGCCTTGTTCCCTGTATGTTACAGGTTCCTGACACCTTGTTCCCTGTATGTTACAGGTTACTGACCCATTGTTCCCTGTATGTTACAGGTTCCTGACACCTTGTTCCCTGTATGTTACAGGTTCCTGACGCCTTGTTCCCTGTATGTTACAGGTTCCTGACGCCTTGTTCCCTGTATGTTACAGGTTCCTTATACCTGGTTCCCTGTATGTTACAGGTTCCTTATACCTGGTTCCCTGTATGTTACAGGTTCCTTACACCTTGTTCCCTGTATGTTACAGGTTCCTGACGCCTTGTTCCCTGTATGTTACAGGTTCCTTATACCTGGTTCCCTGTATGTTACAGGTTCCTGACACCTTGTTCCCTGTATGTTACAGGTTCCTGACGCCTTGTTCCCTGTATGTTACAGGTTCCTGACACCTTGTTCCCTGTATGTTACAGGTTCCTGACGCCTTGTTCCCTGTATGTTACAGGTTCCTGACGCCTTGTTCCCTGTATGTCACAGGTTCCTGACGCCTTGTTCCCTGTATGTTACAGGTTCCTGACGCCTTGTTCCCTGTATGTTACATGTTCCTGACCCATTGTTCCCTGTATGTTACAGGTTCCCCCTGCTTGCTGTGACACGGTTGTATTTAAGAGTGACAACGAGACCCAGCGGTTCTATGAGGTCGTGGGGTGCGCCTCCACAGACGACTCGCCCTATATCAATCAGGAGGTAGTCACGTGATAGGAATTATAAAAATAAAATTAGTATATCTAAAAGAGCTAATAAGTTATGTGTGTGATTAGTTGCAGTTATGAGAAATTGGTTCTTTAAAAAGTAATTCGGTCCAAAACGGGCGAGGGGAGGGCAGAGGTGGTGGGACGTTTGCCCGAAAGACATATACCCGGATGTGATTATTGCCCGAATAGACAATAACAAAAAATCAAGTGTCACAGTGATCTCCCCTAAACTTTCTCGAATATTCTTATATAACTTGGAATATAGACATGGCTTTTAATTACTTAAACTTTTAAAAATAGAATAATAACTCATAGAAAAAAGAATTGCGCACCAAGCGAACGCCAAAACAAAATGTGCATAATAGTGCGCAATATTATTAGTACTTAATAAATTTACGTGCGCTTTTTGAGAAATCGGAAATAGCGTAAATTAGTACTTCCGGTCAGCGGAAATTACTCAAAATTTGACAGAAGGTAGAGAATTAGCTCTTTTACTTACAGGTGAAATTTCATTTATCTATCTTTAGTAGTACTCAAGTTATAGGCTTTTGAAAAATTCAAAGTAGAAAAAGTACCACTTCCGGTTATCGGAAATCGCTCAAAAGTTAATGCGGACCTACGATTATGATAAAATACCTATATATGAAATTTCATTAACCTAGCTGTAACGGTACTCAAGTTATCGTGTTTACACATAGACACACACACACACAGACATACGGACAAGATTGCAAAATTATGTTTTTCCGTATCAGTGAGGTGTAAAACGTCGAGATCTGTAAAAATCTCGATTTTTTTTTACACGATTACAAGACTTTCTCTATACTTCTTATATACGAGAAAGTAAAAACCTTTCCGGAAGAGTTGAGAAGCTGCTAAAATTAAATATGATCTCACGTTTGCTAGAAAACAGAAAGTAGCGACCCGGAACACGATTTGTTTTTTACGATAACCTGGCTATATGCGATTTATTTGTTACAATGGGCAGGTTATAGATGTAGGTTATGGCTTTGTTTGATTTCTTAAAGGTGTGCTACATTCATTACTGCTTGTCGTTTCAATCTTACAGAGGTGCTACATGCATTGTAATTTCTCTCTTACAGAGGTGCTACATGCATTACTTCTTGTAATTTCTCTCTTACAGGGGTGCTACATGCATTGTAATTTCTCTCTTAAAGGTGTGCTACATGCATTACTTCTTGTAATTTCTCTCTTACAGGGGTGCTACATGCACTACTTCTTGTTATTTCTCTCTTACAGAGGTGCTACATGCATTACTTCTTGTAATTTCTCTCGTACAGGGGTGCTACATGCATTACTTCTTGTAATTTCTCTCTTACAGAGGTGCTACATGCATTACTTCTTGTAATTTCTCTCTTACAGGGGTGCTACATGCATTACTTCTTGTAATTTCTCTCTTACAGAGGTGCTACATGCATTACTTCTTGTAATTTCTCTCTTACAGAGGTGCTACATGCATTACTTCTTGTAATTTCTCTCTTACAGGGGTGCTACATGCATTACTTCTTGTAATTTCTCTCTTACAGGGGTGCTACATGCATTACTTCTTGTAATTTCTCTCTTACAGGGGTGCTACATGCATTACTTCTTGTAATTTCTCTCTTACAGGGGTGCTACATGCATTACTTCTTGTAATTTCTCTCTTACAGAGGTGCTACATGCATTACTTCTTGTAATTTCTCTCTTACAGGGGTGCTACATGCATTACTTCTTGTAATTTCTCTCTTACAGAGGTGCTACATGCATTACTTCTTGTAATTTCTCTCTTACAGGGGTGCTACATGCATTACTTCTTGTAATTTCTCTCTTACAGAGGTGCTACATGCATTACTTCTTGTAATTTCTCTCTTACAGGGGTGCTACATGCATTACTTCTTGTAATTTCTCTCTTACAGGGGTGCTACATGCATTGTGATTTCTCTCTTACAGGGGTGCTACATGCATTGTGATTTCTCTCTTACAGGGGTGCTACATGCATTACTTCTTGTAATTTCTCTCTTACAGGGGTGCTACATGCATTACTTCTTGTAATTTCTCTCTTACAGGGGTGCTACATGCATTGTAATTTCTCTCTTACAGGGGTGCTACATGCATTACTTCTTGTAATTTCTCTCTTACAGGGGTGCTACATGCATTGTGATTTCTCTCTTACAGGGGTGCTACATGCATTACTTCTTGTAATTTCTCTCTTACAGGGGTGCTACATGCATTACTTCTTGTAATTTCTCTCTTACAGGGGTGCTGCATGCATTACTTCTTGTAATTTCTCTCTTACAGGGTTGCTACATGCACTACTTCTTGTAATTTCTCTCTTACAGGGGTGCTACATGCATTGTAATTTCTCTCTTACAGAGGTGCTACATGCACTACTTCTTGTAATTTCTCTCTTACAGGGGTGCTACATGCATTACTTCTTGTAATTTCTCTCTTACAGGGGTGCTACATGCATTGTAATTTCTCTCTTACAGGGGTGCTACATGCATTACTTCTTGTAATTTCTCTCTTACAGAGGTGCTACATGCATTACTTCTTGTAATTTCTCTCTTACAGGGGTGCTACATGCACTACTTCTTGTAATTTCTCTCTTACAGGGGTGCTGCATGCATTACTTCTTGTAATTTCTCTCTTACAGGGGTGCTACATGCATTACTTCTTGTAATTTCTCTCTTACAGGGGTGCTACATGCATTGTGATTTCTCTCTTACAGGGGTGCTACATGCATTACTTCTTGTAATTTCTCTCTTACAGGGGTGCTACATGCATTGTGATTTCTCTCTTACAGGGGTGCTACATGCATTGTAATTTCTCTCTTACAGGGGTGCTACATGCATTGTAATTTCTCTCTTACAGGGGTGCTACATGCATTGTAATTTCTCTCTTACAGAGGTGCTACATGCATTGTAATTTCTCTCTTACAGGGGTGCTACATGCATTACTTCTTGTAATTTCTCTCTTACAGAGGTGCTACATGCATTACTTCTTGTAATTTCTCTCTTACAGGGGTGCTACATGCATTACTTCTTGTAATTTCTCTCTTACAGGGGTGCTACATGCATTACTTCTTGTCGTTTCTCTCTTACAGAGGTGCTACATGCATTGTAATTTCTCTCTTACAGGGGTGCTACATGCATTGTAATTTCTCTCTTACAGAGGTGCTACATGCATTACTTGTAATTTCTCTCTTACAGGGGTGCTACATGCATTACTTCTTGTAATTTCTCTCTTACAGGGGTGCTACATGCATTGTAATTTCTCTCTTACAGAGGTGCTACATGCATTTCTTCTTGTAATTTCTCTCTTACAGGGGTGCTACATGCATTACTTCTTGTAATTTCTCTCTTACTGAGGTGCTACATGCAATACTTCTTGTAATTTCTCTCTTACAGGGGTGCTACATGCATTACTTCTTGTAATTTCTCTCTTACAGGGGTGCTACATGCATTGTGATTTCTCTCTTACAGGGGTGCTACATGCATTACTTCTTGTAATTTCTCTCTTACAGGGGTGCTACATGCATTGTGATTTCTCTCTTACAGGGGTGCTACATGCATTACTTCTTGTAATTTCTCTCTTACAGGGGTGCTACATTCATTACTTCTTGTAATTTCTCTCTTACAGAGGTGCTACATGCATTACTTCTTGTAATTTCTCTCTTACAGAGGTGCTACATGCATTACTTCTTGTAATTTCTCTCTTACAGAGGTGCTACATGCATTACTTCTTGTAATTTCTCTCTTACAGGGGTGCTACATGCACTACTTCTTGTAATTTCTCTCTTACAGGGGTGCTACATGCATTGTAATTTCTCTCTTACAGAGGTGCTACATGCATTACTTCTTGTCGTTTCTCTCTTACAGGGGTGCTACATGCATTGTAATTTCTCTCTTACAGGGGTGCTACATGCATTACTTCTTGTCGTTTCTCTCTTACAGGAGTGCTACATGCATTACTTCTTGTGATTTCTCTCTTACAGAGGTGCTACATGCATTACTTCTTGTAATTTCTCTCTTACAGAGGTGCTACATGCATTACTTCTTGTAATTTCTCTCTTACAGGGGTGCTGCATGCATTACTTCTTGTAATTTCTCTCTTACAGGGGTGCTACATGCACTACTTCTTGTAATTTCTCTCTTACAGGGGTGCTACATGCATTGTAATTTCTCTCTTACAGAGGTGCTACATGCATTACTTTTTGTCGTTTCTCTCTTACAGGGGTGCTACATGCATTTTAATTTCTTTCTTACAGGGGTGCTACATGCATTACTTCTTGTAATTTCTCTCTTACAGGGGTGCTACATGCATTACTTCTTGTAATTTCTCTCTTACAGAGGTGCTACATGCATTGTAATTTCTCTCTTACAGAGGTGCTACATGCATTGTAATTTCTCTCTTACAGGGGTGCTACATGCATTACTTCTTGTAATTTCTCTCTTACAGAGGTGCTACATGCATTACTTCTTGTCGTTTCTCTCTTACAGGGGTGCTACATGCATTACTTCTTGTAATTTCTCTCTTACAGAGGTGCTACATGCATTGTAATTTCTCTCTTACAGAGGTGCTACATGCATTGTAATTTCTCTCTTACAGGGGTGCTACATGCATTACTTCTTGTAATTTCTCTCTTACAGAGGTGCTACATGCATTACTTCTTGTAATTTCTCTCTTACAGGGGTGCTACATGCATTACTTCTTGTAATTTCTCTCTTACAGGGGTGCTACATGCATTACTTCTTGTAATTTCTCTCTTACAGAGGTGCTACATGCATTACTTCTTGTAATTTCTCTCTTACAGAGGTGCTACATGCATTACTTCTTGTAATTTCTCTCTTACAGAGGTGCTACATGCATTGTAATTTCTCTCTTACAGAGGTGCTACATGCATTACTTCTTGTAATTTCTCTCTTACAGAGGTGCTACATGCATTACTTCTTGTAATTTCTCTCTTACAGGGGTGCTACATGCATTACTTCTTGTAATTTCTCTCTTACAGGGGTGCTACATGCATTGTGATTTCTCTCTTACAGGGGTGCTACATGCATTACTTCTTGTAATTTCTCTCTTACAGGGGTGCTGCATGCATTACTTCTTGTAATTTCTCTCTTACAGGGTTGCTACATGCACTACTTCTTGTAATTTCTCTCTTACAGGGGTGCTACATGCATTGTAATTTCTCTCTTACAGAGGTGCTACATGCACTACTTCTTGTAATTTCTCTCTTACAGGGGTGCTACATGCATTACTTCTTGTAATTTCTCTCTTACAGGGGTGCTACATGCATTGTAATTTCTCTCTTACAGGGGTGCTACATGCATTACTTCTTGTAATTTCTCTCTTACAGAGGTGCTACATGCATTACTTCTTGTAATTTCTCTCTTACAGGGGTGCTACATGCACTACTTCTTGTAATTTCTCTCTTACAGGGGTGCTGCATGCATTACTTCTTGTAATTTCTCTCTTACAGGGGTGCTACATGCATTACTTCTTGTAATTTCTCTCTTACAGGGGTGCTACATGCATTGTGATTTCTCTCTTACAGGGGTGCTACATGCATTACTTCTTGTAATTTCTCTCTTACAGGGGTGCTACATGCATTGTGATTTCTCTCTTACAGGGGTGCTACATGCATTGTAATTTCTCTCTTACAGGGGTGCTACATGCATTGTAATTTCTCTCTTACAGGGGTGCTACATGCATTGTAATTTCTCTCTTACAGAGGTGCTACATGCATTGTAATTTCTCTCTTACAGGGGTGCTACATGCATTACTTCTTGTAATTTCTCTCTTACAGGGGTGCTACATGCATTACTTCTTGTCGTTTCTCTCTTACAGAGGTGCTACATGCATTGTAATTTCTCTCTTACAGGGGTGCTACATGCATTGTAATTTCTCTCTTACAGAGGTGCTACATGCATTACTTGTAATTTCTCTCTTACAGGGGTGCTACATGCATTACTTCTTGTAATTTCTCTCTTACAGGGGTGCTACATGCATTGTAATTTCTCTCTTACAGAGGTGCTACATGCATTACTTCTTGTAATTTCTCTCTTACAGGGGTGCTACATGCATTACTTCTTGTAATTTCTCTCTTACAGGGGTGCTACATGCATTGTAATTTCTCTCTTACAGAGGTGCTACATGCATTTCTTCTTGTAATTTCTCTCTTACAGGGGTGCTACATGCATTACTTCTTGTAATTTCTCTCTTACAGAGGTGCTACATGCAATACTTCTTGTAATTTCTCTCTTACAGGGGTGCTACATGCATTACTTCTTGTAATTTCTCTCTTACAGGGGTGCTACATGCATTGTGATTTCTCTCTTACAGGGGTGCTACATGCATTACTTCTTGTAATTTCTCTCTTACAGGGGTGCTACATGCATTGTGATTTCTCTCTTACAGGGGTGCTACATGCATTACTTCTTGTAATTTCTCTCTTACAGGGGTGCTACATTCATTACTTCTTGTAATTTCTCTCTTACAGAGGTGCTACATGCATTACTTCTTGTAATTTCTCTCTTACAGAGGTGCTACATGCATTACTTCTTGTAATTTCTCTCTTACAGAGGTGCTACATGCATTACTTCTTGTAATTTCTCTCTTACAGGGGTGCTACATGCACTACTTCTTGTAATTTCTCTCTTACAGGGGTGCTACATGCATTGTAATTTCTCTCTTACAGAGGTGCTACATGCATTACTTCTTGTCGTTTCTCTCTTACAGGGGTGCTACATGCATTGTAATTTCTCTCTTACAGGGGTGCTACATGCATTACTTCTTGTCGTTTCTCTCTTACAGGAGTGCTACATGCATTACTTCTTGTAATTTCTCTCTTACAGGGGTGCTGCATGCATTACTTCTTGTAATTTCTCTCTTACAGGGGTGCTACATTCATTACTTCTTGTAATTTCTCTCTTACAGAGGTGCTACATGCATTACTTCTTGTAATTTCTCTCTTACAGAGGTGCTACATGCATTACTTCTTGTAATTTCTCTCTTACAGAGGTGCTACATGCATTACGTCTTGTAATTTCTCTCTTACAGGGGTGCTGCATGCATTACTTCTTGTAATTTCTCTCTTACAGGGGTGCTACATGCACTACTTCTTGTAATTTCTCTCTTACAGGGGTGCTACATGCATTGTAATTTCTCTCTTACAGAGGTGCTACGTGCATTACTTCTTGTCGTTTCTCTCTTACAGGGGTGCTACATGCATTTTAATTTCTTTCTTACAGGGGTGCTACATGCATTACTTCTTGTAATTTCTCTCTTACAGAGGTGCTACATGCATTACTTCTTGTAATTTCTCTCTTACAGGGGTGCTACATGCATTACTTCTTGTAATTTCTCTCTTACAGAGGTGCTACATGCATTGTAATTTCTCTCTTACAGAGGTGCTACATGCATTGTAATTTCTCTCTTACAGGGGTGCTACATGCATTACTTCTTGTAATTTCTCTCTTACAGAGGTGCTACATGCATTACTTCTTGTCGTTTCTCTCTTACAGGGGTGCTACATGCATTACTTCTTGTAATTTCTCTCTTACAGAGGTGCTACATGCATTGTAATTTCTCTCTTACAGAGGTGCTACATGCATTGTAATTTCTCTCTTACAGGGGTGCTACATGCATTACTTCTTGTAATTTCTCTCTTACAGAGGTGCTACATGCATTACTTCTTGTAATTTCTCTCTTACAGGGGTGCTACATGCATTACTTCTTGTAATTTCTCTCTTACAGGGGTGCTACATGCATTACTTCTTGTAATTTCTCTCTTACAGAGGTGCTACATGCATTACTTCTTGTAATTTCTCTCTTACAGAGGTGCTACATGCATTACTTCTTGTAATTTCTCTCTTACAGAGGTGCTACATGCATTGTAATTTCTCTCTTACAGAGGTGCTACATGCATTACTTCTTGTAATTTCTCTCTTACAGAGGTGCTACATGCATTACTTCTTGTAATTTCTCTCTTACAGGGGTGCTACATGCATTACTTCTTGTAATTTCTCTCTTACAGGGGTGCTACATGCATTATTTCTTGTGGTTTTTTCGCAGTGAATTCAATGTGGCTTACGTTTTATGCTTGACCATCGGGGTAGGTATCGTATGACTGTGGGATGATTTGTTAACTATATACTGATGTGTTAACTTTATACAGATATGTTAACTTTATACTTATGTGTTAACTTTATACTGATATGTTAACTTTATACTGATATGTTAACTTTAAACTGCAATGTTAACTTTATACTGATGTGTTAACTTTATACTGATATGTTAACTTTATACTTATGTGTTAACTTTATACTGATATGTTAACTTTACACGTATATGTTAACTTTACACTGATATGTTAACTTTACACTGATATGTTAACTTTACACTGAAATGTTAACTTTATACCGATAAGTTAACTTTACACTGAAATGTTAACTTTACACTGAAATGTTAACTTTACACTGATATGTTAACTTTATACTGAAATGTTAACTTTATACTGATATGTTAAGTTTATACTGAAATGTTAACTTTACACTGATATGTTAACTTTATACTGAAATGTTAACTTTATACTGATATGTTAACTTTACACTGATATTTTAAATTTACACTGATATGTTAACTTTATACCGATATGTTAACTTTATACCGATATGTTAACTTTACACTGAGATGTTTACTGAAATGTTAACTTTACACTGAGATGTTTACTGAAATGTTAACTTTACACTGAGATGTTTATTGAAATGTTAACTTTACACTGACATGTTAACTTTACATTGTTTTCAGCTGGCTTGGACGTGTCTGGGTATTTTGATTGGTGTTCAGGTCATGAGAAGTCATCTCTCATAAGTCGTGACGCATGCTCGATGTGATTCATGATGGATCTGACGCTGGACTGACGCATGCTGGATGTGATTCATGCTGGATGTGACGCTTGACTGACGCACGCTGGATGTGACGCTGGACTGACGCACGCTGGACTGACGCACGCTGGATGTGACGCTGGATGTGACGCTGGATGTGACGCTTGACTGACGCACGCTGGACTGACGCATGCTGGATCTGACGCTGAACTGACGCACGCTCGATCTGACGCTGAACTGACGCATGCTGGATGTGACGCTGGACAGTGAAATGATCTTTTAGAATTGTATGTGTCGGGTAGATGTTTAGCATTAAAATGTACCGAAAGCATAGCTTGGCTTTGTGTGTCTTATTCTATTGGTGGTATTCAACATCAACTGCAGTAGACAAGCTACATCAACAGCATCAAACATGGTGGTATATCAACATTTAATGAAATATTTACAACTGCATGTTTTGGAAAGGAAGCAGAACAGCCTCCTACCCCTCAATGATATTACCCCCCACCCCCCGATAAACTACTACCCTAGCTTAAGCCACAAAATATAGTTGGACATTTACCCCCCCCCCCCCCAGTAGATTATACATTGACCCTAATTCTAACGTGGGAACAGGGCATTACTCCTACCTTTTACCTCCCCCCCCCCCGACATTACCCCCTGCCTATTACTCCCCGCCAAGTAGGACATTACCCCCCCCTTCCCCGTCATAGCCTATTATGCAGTTAGGGTCAGTGCTAGGACAAGGAAAAGACCTGGAAGAAATAAAGGTCTGCGCCATGTCGGGTGTCCTGTATTGTGACTACAGAAAGTACGCGAGATTTGTTTCCTACCCCGTCAACAGCCAGCCAATCAGAAGCTTGCTATCGTCGGTAGCTTTACCGCAAACACGTACAATAAGTAAACATAAAATGGGGTTTGAGGGGGGGGGGGCTGCATAAACAGTCGTTGATGATGTTAGTTCCATGAACAGTTGTTGAAAAGGGAACTTGTCATGCTAGTTCTATGAGCGGTTACTGGCGAGGGGAACTGGTGATGTTGGGAGAAGTGGATTCCAGTGTTTGTTCCAGACTTTTTTCTCCGGGGAGGGGGGGGGGGGGGCACTTGATATTTTCGGGGGTTACGGACAATATTTTCCGGGGAAGGGGGCGGACACTGGTAAAAGTATATGTTTTCTATATAAATGCCATTTCGTTGGAAGAGATGCCTGGAAGAAACTCTGGAGGGTTCCAGTGTCGTCCAGACTGAAGGCAAGTTTTTTTTATCTCGGGACTCTGATTATAATGACGTCATTGCCATTGAAACTTCCGGGAAAGAAAATGAGCTCTTCTTTGTTTTTTTCTTACTTTTATAGAAAAATGGCGGATTGTGTACATTCTAGATTTTGTTTCAAGTCCTAATCCCAATCCATTCTTCTGCTTATTATGGAAGTTAGAAAAATAATTCGTTAAGTCCAACGAGTTTTTTCTTGATTTGATTTCTTACTTGGGAAATATTGCCTGGCTCGAGGTATGTATTTTTCAGTTGAAATTTACTTTGTTAATTTTTTTTATGGGACTTGTAGTTAGTCAGACAAGATGAAACTAAAGATCTAGATGATTCTAGATCTAGATCTAAATCCAATTGGATTTGTATCGCGTCTTAATTATAGGTTTAAAATTAGATTCAGTATTGGGGTTTAATACCCCCCCCCCACACACACACATACACACACACGCACACACATACACGAACAAGAAGAATTATTTGATTAAACCAGATTAAGTCACTGATTAGGATTTAGAGAAATCGCCGATTAACGTTTAGATTAATTCGCGGATTAGGGTTAACTTATATATATATATATATATATATATATATATATATATATATATATATATATATATATATATACATACAACTTCGCTAAAGGTAGCTCGCGCCTCTAGTGACCTTTGAACTGTGTAAGACTGCCCAAAGTTTCCCGCCTCACCGCACGAGCTCATGGTCACGCTTGAATGACCACGTGACCAACCAGACCGTGACCTCCATCTGACCGGACGATGCCAGACCTCCAGCCATGCCTGGGCTAGGCCTGGCACCAGAGAATGCCCGAGCTCGCGGACACCGACTCTGTCTCCTCCCTCCAAGACGCCGTCAGCAACGCTGTAAGGGCTTTGTCAGGGGCTTCGTTGTTGTTAGGGGCTTCAAATGTCGTTGTCAGCGGCTTCGTTGTTGTTGGGGCTTCAAATGTCAGTGTAAGGGGCTTCGTTGTTGTTAGGGGCTTAGTTGTTGTCAGGGGCTTAGTTGTTGTTAGGGGCTTAGTTGTTGTCAGGGGCTTAGTTGTTGTTAGGGGCTTAGTTGTTGTCAGGGGCTTCAAATGTCAGTGGGTTCATTTGTCTACGTGAGGGACCTCATATGTCCATGTCGTTTTCTTTTCTCGCTCATGTCAAGAACTTTGTTTTTCTGGTCTGTCTATAACTAATGAGATGATCATTAACTAATGAAATGATCATTAACTAATGAAATGTTAATTAACTAATGACATGTTAATTAACTAATGACATGTTAATTAACTAATGACATGTCAATTAACTAATGACATGTTAATTAACTAATGAAATGTTAATTAACTAATGACATGTCAATTAACTAATGACATGTTAATTAACTAATGAAATGTTAATTAACTAATGACATGTCAATTAACTAATGACATGTCAATTAACTAATGACATGTCAATTAACTAATGAAATGATCATTAACTAATGAAATGCCAATTAACTAATGAAATGTCAATTAACTAATGAAATGTTAATTAACTAATGCAATAATTAGTCTGAAGACTATGACGCAGACGACGAGACAGAAGAAGTGAAAGTGACCGGAAGTGTCCGCCCACCTGATCACCGGAAGCGATGGTGGGTCATTTGCCGCGTGTCTAATATGGTCGTCTCTGTCATATATTTGGTAAGTCACGTGGTCGTCTCAGTCATATATTTGGTAAGTCATATGGTCGTCTCTGTCATATATTTGGTAAGTCATACAGTCGTCTCAGTCATATATTTGGTAAGTCATACGGTCGTCTCAGTCATACATTTGGTAAGTCACGTGGTCGTTGTCATATATTTGGTAAGTCTTGTCATATAATTTGGTAAGTCATATGCTCGTCTCTGTCATATATTTGGTAA